AAATTTTTCAACACTGAATAATTTTGTTCTTTGAGTTATTCCCTTTGCAAATAGGTATTTTAAATGTAAATCCTGAAACCTTATCTTGGATGAATTCTAAACAGAGCTTGACAAAGAGCTACAGTTCAGCTTGCTGGCAGTAACCCAAATAGTCACTAACATGAAAATGTCTGAGTAGCTCACAGCACACTTCCAGCACTTTAACTCTGCACCAAAAAATGTCATTAAAAGGATTAGATTCTGCTCCAGAAAGAACAACTGGGAAGGCTCTGTATTAATTTTTCCTGGTTTACTTTTCTTGGTCTGGCTTTACTAAGTGTTTCAAGGTAACAGTCTTGTTCCTGGGCTCTGCTTTTCATAAGAAATGAAGTGGTTTATGTTAAATACCTATAGTGAGATGTAAGAAAATAGTAACTGGAGATATGGGGGAGGTGGGTGATTAATGGCAGTGTAAAACACATTAATTAAATTAACTTCTCTTGAGGTAGATTTCCATCCATTCTTTTATAAGTGGTTATGTTTCAGTTTCAGAACAGTTTGAAAAGAAAACTGTGCAAGGGTCTGTGTGTGCTTTCTGGATTTCTGGCCCAGTTCTCACTGCTGCAGGAAATCCCAGAAGAAAAGAGTGGAAACTGCAGTATTTACTGTCTCATGTTATAGCATATTTAATTTTTCCTTTAAAATCTTTGAACATGCTGTGAAGTTTCAATAATTTTGTACCTTGGTCTTACTTCTTCTTGTTGTTGTTCACCTTTCAACTCATAAATAGTTAAATTTTTAAATAGAAGAGGATAATTGCCATGTTTCCACTTGAAATATTGTAGAGCCCCAAGGCACTTTCTTGGACAAACGTATTTTTCAGCAGCTCATTGTAATTTTGGTTTTGAGTGAAGATCCAACAAAATTAAAATCCATACCCATCTGCAGAGAAAGGTGTATTTTCAGACTTCAACAATAGCATTATTTGGAAGGATTTTAATTACTCCTTTGCAAAGAGGGAAGATTTCTGCAGCAAGAGGGGCTGTCCTGAGGATCACAGAATGACTTTGCACGCTGTCCAAGTTGACAAAGAAGAGCCAAATCTGTGGGTGATGATTATGCAGATTGGAAAAGTGCTGATAGACTGTGGAAAAATACAAGTCTAAGCCTAACAGCTTTGCAAACCTGTTTGAAAAAGCAGCTTTGAGCAGTTGATCTGGTGCTGTACGTGGGCGATATATAGTAGCAATGTTGCACTAGGGTGAGCAGAGTGAGGTGGGGAGGCAGAGGAAGGTCCTTGGGGTGCTTGGTTTCATAGAGAGTGGGAGGCAGCGTCATGGCAGTTTTTAAGTGGTGGCAGGGGTGGATTTTAAGTGGGTGGTAGTATAATTTTCATATATAATACATTTAATATTTTATTTAATTTTTTAAAAAATTTTCATTTTTCAGTAATCAAAGTCAAGTTTTCAGGTGATTGATCAAATAAAGAAAGGAAAGTCCAAACATTTCAGCTTCAGGTTATGTTTGAGTAGACTTTTGCTGACATCAGAAATTATTGCAGCAGCTAAATTACAAAGATGCTATCTTGGCTCTGCGAGCCAAGAACACCATAATTACGGCTGTTAGATGCCCCATTCTGCTTCCTCACTTTTGACTTTAACCATCAAGGCACTGGATCAAGGTAAAAATGAACTAATTTATGTGGAGGGATTGGGGTGGTTTCAAGAACAGCATGAAACAAATGCCTCAGTTTGGTGATGATTACTGTCCCCTGGAGGAGCCACAGCCTTAGCCAGAATGTGTGGCATTGCTTTTTAGCTGCATATGTTGAATGCTCATAAAGTGATTTGCATTGGCATCTAGTTTACAGAGTTCAGTGAATTCTACCAGCCTTCTCTAGTGCTAATTCAAAGGGCAGCATCAGTAGCTGTTTATGTAGGTATACCAAATTATTTATTTCTTAAGGTGTTTTCACGTTCTCTTACATGCTGTTGTTCTTTCTAGCTAGAGACTCAGCACTCCCACCCTTCTTCTGAAGTGATATTTTTTAAATAAAGCTAAAGCTATCTGAGTTTAGACAGGTATGTGGGTTTACACATACTGCCTTGTCAGAACAGCTTGGGCACCAGTGTCACCAGTATACCCATGAGAGCTGTGTCGTTTGGCTTGTGGCACCCAAAATCTATCCAGGCATCTATCTTCGGAGCTCAGAACAGCTAATATTTTATTTTTTTTTATTTAGTAACAGATATAGTAAGCTTGAAAATGAGTAGTTGGAGTAGTTCATTGTTTCCACCAGAACATAAAGGACATAAAGCCCAGGATACACACAAGGGGAAACCACAACCATCAATGTATTCAGGTGCATGTTTCTACCTTTGTCCTCAGGCACATGTACCAGTTCAGAAGGGCACTCAAATATTTTCATAATGCCTTAGATTGCCCAACTGAAGCCAACAGGACTGTCTGATGCCAGAAAAACTACTTATGATTAACATTAAACACATTCTTTAGATGTTGATGAACTGGGGCCTGTGGTAGTTTAAAAATTGTGAGTGCTTGAAAATAAATTGTTTCAGTTTCTATACATTTAAGATGGGACTAGGAGTCACACAGAGGAAAATTAAATTTTTTTTTTTTTTTTGCCCACTGCCATATTTCCATAAGAAGGAAATAAAACTATTAAATACAGAAAGCATTTGCATTGATGATATTATTACTGTTACGATTGTTATTTTATTTTAGGTTCAGATATAGAAAATAAGTTTGTTGATACACAAAACTTTGGAAACCCTGGAGCATATTTTTTTATTCAGTAATTTTATTAACTGTTTTGTAACCTTATTTGTAGACTTACCTAGGAATTGTAATTGCCTTATGTGATAGGTTTGGAAAGAGAAATGAATATCAGTTATAGGACATTTTTTTCAAAACTGAAATTTAGAAGTAATACGGCTTTCAGTATTTTGCCTTGTGATATTTAATTGCCTATTCTAAAAAAAAAGTGCTTCAAAGAAGTCTTTCAATCCTTTTCTGGATTTTCAAGTCCCCCTAACATTTCTTGGCATAGGCAACACATCTTTCATTCAGTTATGCTGGAAAAGATATTTCAAAATGGCAAATAAAACAGGTGTGTCAAATCTGCCTGTCTGGCTTTCTCAGATTCAGGAGGTCTCACACTGTGAGTTTTATTTTAATATGGATTTCTATTTTGTATTGCAATGGATTCCCTTTAACCCAAATCTGAGAAAGGCAAATCTGGGAAAAAAATTTATCTTTCCTTTGAATTGTGGTATCACCAATACTGTAGACTGCAGCATTCCTTTCCAGTCATGAGAGCTGGAGTGTCTGCAGGCTTATCAAATAGCGTTTGGAAAATCTTGGAAATCCTGTAACTGGGACACTCCTGAAAGTCAGTCAGAGCTGGCAGGAGTGAATTCTCATGAACTGGAGAAAACCAGATGAAGGGTGACCCCAAGGCTTCATCACAGAGAGCCTGTGGCAGGGGCCAGCAGTGTGTCCCTGTCCCTCCCCATTCCTGTTCTCTGCCAGCAGAGTGGCTGAACATCCCAGATTTCCTTTCTTGGCTTGCTGGAGCTGTTGATCTGAGCTTCCCAGCTGGCTTATCCACAGGGATATGGGAGAAGGGGAACAACTAACTGTGCTGACACATTGATGAGGACCTTCACTGGAAACAGAGCAGTCAGCAAGGAGCAACTGCCAGCAATAACCCTTCCTGTGACATGCAGAGGAGGATGTCCCCATGGCCACACTTCATTTATGGTTCAGCAAATTGTGCTGCTCTTCAAGCTGTGCTCAGTTCCCTAAAAGGCCTTGTACAGATATGGGTGAACTCCCAAGTAAGAAAATGCAATTAAAATTATTAAAGCAGCATTAAAAGTCATGCAGGAAGGTGTTTTGTAGTGCTAAGTGGGAAAAAAATGAAATGCCTTTCATTTCAAAGCTGACAAAGTTTATATAGAAAGGCGATAGTAAATCAGTGGTGAAATGATGAATAAAGATCAAGCAAACAGATAGGTTGCCTTTCTTTACACAGTTCTCTTAACACAGGTTAAGACAGTTCAGGTGTTCAGGTTTAAATGCATATATTAACTGCTCAGTATATTAGTTTGTGAATATAGCTTTCACTGCCCAGCCAGAAACTTCACTGCAATCTCTTTGTTACAAGTTTGTAAAGCAAACAGAAATGCAACATGGAAAAGAGCCTGGAGCTCCCAAAATCTGGAGCTGAGATTCTAGATGTTGTTTGTCCAGCGACGCATTTCTCATTTACTGGGAAACGTTGAAGCTATCGCATCCTGGAAGAAGGTCCTGAATAGTTGCTCTTCTTGAAAAGTGTGGTGCAACGCAGGAGGGTTATCGGTCATCTGAAGGACTGAACTTCTAGTTGCTAATTTTGTGAGGCTGTTGATGCTGTTGATGGTAGATTCAGGTTGTTGCCCAGGTTTGTGAAATACCCAGGTACAAAAAGTTGCTTCAGGCTGAATTTTTTTTTCTTACATTCAAGTTCCATCTCTGTTTTACAGCTTAGCAAGTCAGTGCTATGCCTACTTGGAGATCACAGAATCATAGAATGTTTTGGGGTGGAATCATCTTAAAGATCATCATCTTCTTCCATCCTCCTGCCAAGGGCAAGGGCACCTTCCACTATCCCAGGTCGCTCAGAGCCCCATCCAGCCTGGCTCTGGACACTTTCAGGGATGAGGCAGCCACAGCTTCTGTGGGCAGCTTGTGCTAGGGCCTCACCACCTTCAAATGAAAAACTTCCCTGCTAATATCCCTTCACGCCGCTACTTTCCCCTGCTCTGGGACTGCAGGCACACATTCCAGATGAGTCAGAAAGAGCTGTGTCACTGGTGCCCTTGGCTTGGTGATGGCATACACTGGCATTTTGGGCAAGTGCAAGTGGGCTCAGTGTTGTAGAAATAATACTTTTCCTTTTGAATAATGTCTTGTCTTCTGACCCTTTTTTTCTCCCTCTGTTGTGTTTTTTCTCCAGCTGGGATGACAGCAGCTCTGTCAGCAGTGGGATCAGTGACACCATAGATAATCTCAGTACCGATGACATTAACACCAGCTCCTCTATCAGCTCCTATGCCAACACACCTGCCTCCTCCCGCAAGAACTTAGATGCACAGGTAAGAGGTTTGGTTTATTCAAGTAACGTTGATATTTATTATTTTCACTGGGCAGGAGGTGTAATTGGTTTGGGTTGGTTGAACTTGAGCACACAGCCAGCCTTCAGTGTAGACAGTATCAATAGTACCCACCTTGTCAGCCATGGCATTTACAAATATTTCCTCTATGGATGGAACCTGCAACATCTCTGCCATGGTGATGTCACAAGAATTGGGTCTTGCCTTCCTAGAAAAGCTGCACAGAAACAGATGTAAATGGGATTTTATATAGATTTTTTTTTTAGGTCTAGAAAAGGTACTAGGTTTTTCTCTTAAATAATTGATAAAGTAAACATGAAAATTCAGAAGTTTACACTTTTATCAGAAATGTAAGCATGCTATGCAAATGAAATGGATTTTATTAAATTTCCAGAGCTGTGTGTTATTGAAGGCTTTCTGTGTTTGTAAGTATTTCACAGGAGGATAAACTTTGCCTCCACCAGCAGGATACATGGACATTTTGTGCTCAGACACCACGTATCCAAAGAGGTGGAACAAGTGAAGACATCTGAAATTTTTTTCATCAAATAAACTGTGTAACACAGAGATCTGCACTAATATAAACTGCTTTTTTTTACCAATTGCATAGATTTTTGTTTGGGAAAGTGCAGGACTACAGAGTCCAGCTTTGTTCTTTGTACAGCCTGCTTGAGGGACTCAGATGCTGCGTGCTGAAGCCACTGGGATGTGGTGACCTGGCAGTGCCGCAGGTAGAGGAGAGGGGTGTTGATACGACCTGCTCCTCTGTTTCTTCCCTCTTTTAATCTTCTCCAGTTCTTTTCATCAGTGGATCCTAAATCTGTTTTTGACATCAGTTTTAATGTAGACATGTGGTTGCTGTGAAGTATTGCTCTGTCTCCAGAGCTGTGGTGCAAGCAGAGTAGTCTTTGTTCCCTTGCCATGCAGTGCATTTTTAAGCCTACATGAAGGGTTTCCAGGTAGCCTCTGGTTGCCTATCAGTGACTGCACAGGCACTTGGAACTGCTAATACAAGTCCCATGCAAACTGAGAGGAGTTAAGATCTATCAAGCATGTTTGTCAGTACCTGACAGAGAGTAAGATGGGAAACTAGAAGTATTTTTTGACAATTGTTAGTGTCTCAACATTGTAATACTGTTGGGATGAAAAAAGGAAGACTTAGGGAGATGTGACTAAACATTAACCTAAGGGAAAAAATATAGAAACTCATATGACTTCTATCTTCTGATGGATCAGATTCTTGGAAACACCTCTGAGAGATCAAAATCTATGTTGACAAACTCCTCTTCCTCCTCCACAACTGTTACAGTATCCAAGAGGGTGCAGACAGACACCAGAAGAAAAGCTGCTGGAGCTTGCTCAGGCAGTAGAGTGTAGTTATTGGCAGAGGAAGCTGGGAGCCAAGAACGTACAAGTTGTGTTTGCAATTTTTTGGTGTGATGTGTGTCTCTGACCTGCTTCTCTCCTCAGTTTTCATGAATGGCAATTTTTATTCCAGGTATTCTGTTATCTGCAAATTATTGCCTGTAAAATAGTTCATTTTCAGTGGAACAAACTACCTGAATCTTGTCAGCCAAGGGAATGAAAAGAGCTTGGCGTGCTGAAATGCGCAGCTTGCAGGGTTAGTTTTTTGCTGCCAGTTGTAGACCTCAGAGCGCATGATGCAGTGAATGTTGCAGAGACACCTTTTCTGTCTTTCCTGAAGGATTCTGTGATGGCCAGTGCCCAGGTTTGCCTTCCCCAGGGTGATGAGCCACAAAGGACTAGCACCCATTTGCAGAGAGATGTGGACTTTTCTTCCCAGGATGTCCCTTGCTTTGATTCTCCTTAACAGTAGGCACTTTTGGCCTGCTGTGGTTCTGTCACATCTCTTTGAGGGGGTACAGAAGTTGGATTTCAGATAATTAAGGAGAGAGCTTGAAGCTAATATATGTGCAGCTGGGAGTCCAGGCAAATAATGCAGCAACATCAAAGGGAGAGAGCCTGAACATGTCAGTGTCGGCTGATAAAATCAGTAACTCAGGCAGAATAATCTCTGAAAAGAAAGGCATAGTTGCAGTAGGAAAAAATCTCTGTTGAGAAGCTGATTTTCAGAGCTGATGAGTGTAAGAGCCTGATGAAGAGATGGGGACATCAGACAACTCTTCTTTAAAGCACTGTTTATTCCATAGACTAAGTTACAGCAGTTGGGGGTCATGGGTCAGCCTGCAGCTGCTGGCTATAGGCAAGCCATGTGTCCTGAAGACCATTTAGTTCTGGTTACAATGTATATATTTTTCTTTGCTGAGCATCTTAATACATAACAATCAGCATCATACACAATACCTTTACATTTACATATAACCTATCAAAACTTCTAAAATTACCATATTATGTTAGTGACTAAGCAATCATATGGGTTAGTAGTTACATGTTAAACTTTGAAACTTATTTTGCAGTGGAAAGTTCTTCTTGCTTTGGTAAAAAACATCTTTCTGTCTGCCTATGCTTTTTTCACTTGGTAGAAAACATGCTTTGTTTGAAGACCACTTAACCTGTTGGACTTTAGCCATAAAACCTCCTTCCAACTGACTAAACCTTTGTTCTAAACCTTCCAACTCAACCAAACTTTGTTCTCTCAGCTGTTTCAGCAATGACTGGCCCTAAAAACATCTTTTATATATCAAAACTTGCTTTCATTTCTAGAGAGCCTTCTGCTAAGCATTCATATCTATAAAACTTTTTTGTTAAATTTTCATCCTTCCCAACAGATGAGTACGCATACTCCAGAAGCTGTAGTTTCTCTAATCTTTGAGAAACCAGATTTAAATATGATATTAACTCCATCTTCAGAGACATTCATAGCTGTAGCCCCTTTTTATAGCAATGCAGTGAAGATGTTTGCAAGTTGTTTCTGAGCAAGCTGTTGATGGGAGCCAGCATTTGCCTTACCACATGTTCCATGTCTTGCTGTGATTATGCCAAGTACCAAACTACTTAATGTAGTTGTATGCATTTTGGCACCCTAATGTTTTTCTTTTGTATTGCACAGAATTAGATAAGTTACCTTCATCACAGTTCTACATCTAGTGTGCCTTTAAAGTCACACCATATGTATACTTTAAGGAGAAATTAAGTCCTAGTAGGCATTTAAAAATAACTTATTTAACTGAAATAAGATGGGAGAAAGAGGCCAAGTAATACATTCAATCATATGATGGCAAAAATATCAGAAAATAGAAACGTTCCTTTAAATAGAAAACTGCAGCATCCCTAAGGAGTTGTATAAGACATCTTCTCAGCAAAGATGGGTTTGGTCTGTTCACAGCTTCAGATTTGCAAAACTTTATGAGTGAGTTGAGAAATACTGATGGTTTGCTCCCAGCTCATGCTGGCTGTGTCTTGCCATGACCTCCAGCCAAGCGTATTTCCACTCTCACCCTTCCGGGCGGGTGGAGTTTCAGCTGCAATCCCCAAGCCAGGTTTCACTGTGTTTTGCTTTTAATTCCTTAGTCATGTTTCTGTGCTGTTCTCAGTGTTTAGCATTAAACAGAAATATCTCTGGCTAGAGGGATTCAAAGGTGGAGGTGCAGCATTTCAAAGGCTGCAGGAAAACTTCGGCTGTGGGTGTGGTAGTGGAATGAAATGGAGGAGAGCAAAGGTAGAGAACTTCTTGCAGTGCTGTTCTCTCTGTGGAGACTGTACTAATTTTACAGATTATGGGGTGCGAAATAGAAGGTACAGGAATATTTCCTGTCAGTCAAAACTCTAGAATAAGGCCTTTGCTAACAAGTAGGTGTATTTTTTGTTCTTGAAATCTAACAGTTCATACACACAATTCCAGGCAAGGAGCTTGGAACAAGATACTGAAGTGACCACATGAGGAATGGTGGCTTTGTTAGTTGATTATTTGGTACTTTTTGCCTGTGCTCTCTTCCAAGATCTGTCAATGTAGGACATGTTTGCATGAAATAGTGATTTTGGAGAGGCACAGGACATAGGAACAGTCACACTGTGAATTTATTACACACCTACTGATGGTCAGAAATAGAAAGGTGACCCACCAACCCCAAACCTGGCAGGCATAGGAAGAGAAGGGAGTTAGAAAGCAGAGATCCACTCAAGCCTACACTGTTGCTCTCTTTGAATGGAGAGGCAGGGAAACAACATTTGTGTAGCACGAAGGAAGTACAAGAATATATTATCCATAAATCCATAATTCAAACTGCATGTTAGTCTAATGACTCAATATGTAGATAAATTACCCAAGCCCTGTTTCCCAACTGAATAAAGACCATTGTGATATGTGGTGCCAGCTTTCACACACTGATTGCTTAACTAGTTTTTCAGGCTTTAAAAAAAACGTAATTGCAGTAAAAAGCAGAGGAAATTCAACCACAGTTCCCCTAAATTCTTTAATATTAATGGTGTGATCTGATAGGAAAAGTCATAAACTTAAAACCTTCTTTAGGAACTTAAAAATAAAAGCTGAAAAGCATGGTAAATAATCTTACAGTTTCTCCTGTGCTGTGTTTTTCTGATTGTCTAAAGGGAACAAAACTGTGAGCTTCATAATGCTTTGGGATATTTAAAATAATTTCCTTTCAAATGAATTAATTCCTTTTACTTGCCACACAGTTCTGAGCACATTCATATTGTGCTGAGGCTGCAGGGCAGAGGTGGCACTCAACACCACACCAAAACCCATCAGCCCATACTTGGGAACTGCACAGTCAAGTGTTGAATTGTCAGTCTCTTTCACGGTGCTGTGGTCATTGGCGAGCACTTCAGCTATGAATTTTTTTATCCCGAACAGAGTCGAATGTGGGGATATTTGTCATTTGTGCCTGATCACAAAATGTTTGGTTTTTGTTTACCACATTTGCCAAATTTAATCAACAGCATTTGACTGGACTAGAATTCTGAAAGAATAATCATTAGCAGTGTAAAGTGTTAATGTGTGGTGAATATATAAAATATTCACATATATAGATATATAAAATATTCACGTATATAGGGTAATAGATTTAATTTCAGCATTTCTGAGATTTTGGCAAAGGCTTGCTAATGAGAAATTTTTCTATTTGACATTGAGCTTAGTGAAATTCTTCATAAGAGACTGGTAGCAGAATCAGTCTGTGCAGTGAGTCAGGGAAGAACAGTCTTGCAGAGAAACTAAGGGAAATTTATGTATTGAAGTCAGTCTTGAGTATTGTTAGAAAGCTTTTCTTCAGTTCTTGGGTGTCCTTCTACTATGTTAGGTTAGAATTAACAGCATTCCATATATTTGGATCTGTTCCAAAAGCTGCCTCCTCATGCTTTGGAGATCAGATTGCCAGACAAGAGATAAGAAAGAAGCAGGAACAAAGGAAGTCTGGCTGCACAGGTTTGAAATGCTTTTTTGGCATTGCAGTAAAAGGGTCTGTCAGAAATTAGAGATGGAGGATTATAAATGTCATGGAGCTGAGTACGTTCTTTATAAATCAAGAAGGGGTTTTTTTTTATTTATTCCAAGAGCATGGCTGTTGCATTTTTTGTATTTTTCTCACAAAGCATATTTATAAAAAAGTCATTTCTGGGGTTAATTTCTTGCTGTGACATTTCTTCATCGAAGTCATGTCATGTTTGTTGGTACTCAGAGATGACTGCTGAGCTGATTAATCAGGTTGATGGTTCTTACTTAGGAAGCTTCTTAAAAGAAAGACTTGCTCTGAAAGTTGTCTTGCAATTCCTTATCTAGACTGATGCAGAAAAGCATTCCCAGGTGGAACGGAATTCCTTATGGTCCAGTGATGAAGTCAAGAAATCCGACGGGGGATCTGATAGTGGCATAAAAATGGAGCCGGGATCTAAATGGAGGCGGAATCCTTCTGATGTGTCAGATGAGTCTGATAAAAGCACTTCTGGTAGGAAGAACACTGTTATTTCCCAGACGGGCTCCTGGCGACGGGGCATGTCAGCTCAGGTTGGCATTACCACACCAAGGCCTAAACCTTCAACTGCCCCAGGCACATTAAAGACACCTGGAACAGGTGAGAAAAGGCTTAAGATGTAAACAAGCCAAAAAGTGTGTTCAGTGTGAAAACAGTTTAAATACTTTGCAGAGGCAGAACCTGAACTTCAGGTAATCCTGTCTGTATTTTTAGGCATTGATTTAACCTAAGCAGCATCTTGTATATCCACGTTTCTATTTCTGTCTGAAAATGTGTATTTCAGATTAGTACACCCTGCCAGTTGTTTTCATGAAAATTCTGGTCTTAAGCCGAGCTATTTATTTGGCAGAGTGTTGTTGTGTGAAGAATAAATAATATAGTTTTAGTTTTTGAAGTCACTAGAACATACAATATATATATGTATGGTTGAGGAGTTTGGGGTTTTTTTCCTCTTACTAAACAAATGTATTTCTTTATACTAAACATGATTTCTGTCTTTTCTTGAAGTGTATTAATGATTTTAGCACTTGCAGATACGTGAATGAAAATGGATTGAATTTGCATAATCAAGCAATATAATTTAATACCTCTCTTTTTATTAGGTTTTGTACACAATTGTATATGAAAAAGTTAAAGTTAGATACTGTCTTGAGCAATACAAATGTTTTAACAATGCCTTTGAGGGAAATTATGCTATCAACCTAACACTACTAGTGTGTAACGATAGAAATTATCAACCTGTGATAGCTACAGAGGGAAACTTTTTTTCTTATCTGTCACTATTATGTAAGGCTGTTCTGCTTTTCATATTCTTGACAGCAAAGGCACCCCATACTTTCTTTGGCAAGTCTGCATGTGTAACTCACTCGAGTGGCATGTAAGTTCAGTGCAGACTAGATCATAACTTTGAACCGCACTCCAGTGGCTAACACGCTTTTGCTTCTCATGCTGCTTTGAGTTTCATCATTTGCTTGATGTTTTCAAGTCATTAAATATTAGAATTCTTTTTCTATTTTTGTAGGGAAAACTGATGACGCCAAGGTATCAGAAAAGGGTAGACTATCTCCTAAAGCTGGACATGTTAAACGTTCCCCATCAGATGCAGGACGCAGCAGTGGTGATGAATCCAAAAAGCTTCCCACAAGTAATTCTAGGACAGCTGCTGCTAATGCTAATACATTTGGATTTAAGAAACAGAGCGGGTCAGCCGTAGGCATGACCATAATCACTGCCAGTGGGGCAACTCTCACCAGTAGATCGGCTACCTTGGGAAAGATCCCCAAGTCATCTGGACTCATGGGTAGGACCACTGGTCGGAAGACTAGTGTTGATGGCTCCCAGAACCAGGATGATGGCTACTTAGCACTTAGTGCACGAACTAATCTTCAGTACCGTAGCTTACCCCGGCCCAGTAAATCCAGTAGCAGAAGTGGAGCTGGGAATAGATCTAGCACAAGTAGCATAGACTCCAACATAAGCAGCAAGTCAGCTGGTTTGCCTGTCCCTAAAATCAGAGAACCTGCCAAGGTAATCCTTGGAAGCTCTCTGCCAGGATTAGTCAACCAGACTGATAAAGAGAAAGGGATTTCGTCTGACAACGAAAGCGTGGCTTCATGTAATTCTGTTAAAGTGAACCCTGCATCACAGCTGGCTGCTAGCGGAGCTCAGAGTACCCACCAGCAAGGAGTCAAGTACCCCGATGTGGCTTCTCCCACTCTGCGCAGGTAGGCAACAAATTCCTCGGTTGTGCAGTGGTGTTAGTGGGAGCTGAATGAGCAGGACTCTGCCAGCCAGGCCTGGCTGGCTTTGGTGCAGCACTTACTATTTAGTGTCCTACTTCAAGGTCTTTGTACTTACATTTAATTTTACATAAATAGTTTGGCCAGTGTTGTGGATACTTAGGACATGATGTGACAGCAGCAGAAGTCTAACATTTAGGAAAAAAAACCAAACCTGTCTGGCAGAAAGTTTGGCAATTACGATTTGAGTCTCCTTGTTGCAGAAACCATACCTGAAGACTTTTACCCATGCAGATATCACAGGGATAAGAACTTTCTTACCTGAAGGTTCCTGAAGAGTTCTTGCACAAATGTATATGTAATAAACCTGGAAATATTCTAGTCGTGGATCAAATTGTAAACCAACAACCGGAGGGTTATCTCAGGTTTTCATGACAGTGGCATTGACCTGCGATGCTTAGATCCATCCAAAGCAAACTATCATAAGTTGTATGGATCAGCCCAGTATGTTGCAAGACCCAACATTTTAGCCTGTGTAGAAGAACCTTAAATAAAGTTACTGTCTAAGCTGGGTTAAATTTTATTATTTTAATACTATTTTTTGGACAAAAATCCTATCTGTGTTCTATTTCTCCAGGAGCACCCCACACATTAACATTAACAAATAGCTGGTGAGGAGGTAGTTTCTTGATGCAGTGTATGTCAAAGCCTTGATATTGGTAAAAAATTCTGTTAATATTATTTTTCAACAGAATTTGAGTAGCTTGTCTGTTTCAAGTTGCAGTGTTTTGCATTTCATTTTGTCGTGACGCCCATATTACCCATACAGTTATGCTCCATCATTCTGCTTCCAGTGATGTGAGAAAGCCACATTCCATCTGAAGCACCAGTGCAAGCATAATGGATGTGATGGCAGCTTAGGCTGATGCTGTAAACTGTTTTTAGATGGGTGTTTTTATATAAAGAGTCTGTGTGAGGATAATTGAAGATACTTTATTTTTGTACCTGGTTAGCAATAGATAAGCCATGTACTTTGGAACATGTAATTTTCATCAATGGCTACTTAAAAACTCCAGTAGGCCTTTCACTTCTGTAAGATACACAATGAGAAATGCAGATTTACAGTGTTTTCAGTGATTTCAGTGTGCCTCAGACACATTGGCAGGAATGTGATTGGGAATTTTTTTATTACTAAAAAGCTACATTGATGGCTGTGTAATTGAAATGCTGCATTAGAAATACATGAAACTTCAAAGAGCAGACACTGAAGCTGAATTTAACTATTCTCTCATTTGATTTACAATTTCACACTTGAATTTTCACCAGCCTTTCAAATTTGTCATGTGTTGAAATGCGTCAGAGTTGAATTGGACCTCATCTGATATTGCTGATTTCTAGGATGACAGCGAAGATTTTGAGCATAATTTTCATAGTCAGTTGAGTTGCAGACATTTTTTGCATGTTTCCTCTTGGTCTTATTTTTTTTTTGGTATTACACAGTGAATTAGTGAATTAGAATCTATACCTTTGTAATGATACAGACTTACCTATAAGTTTGTGAGTATATGTAACTTCCATGTTGTCATAAACAGGGAGTAGCTTAAAAAACATTGTAAAACTGTTGTATGGGTGTTCAGGATTTTTTAAGCTCTGGGATCCTTTCTTTAAGAGTGGTTTCCCCAGTGCAGCTGAAGAGATTGTATGCTCTGGCACAAAAATACCTTAGGGAATACTCTAAGCTAGTATAACTGCTGAAGGCCATGCAGTCATGGACTGTTTTAGGTGGGAAGGGACCTTGAAGATCATCTCTTTCTGACTCCCCTGCCATAGGCAGGGACACCTTCCACTATTCCAGGTGGCTCAGAGCCCCAGGTCAGCCTGGCCTTGAACACTTCCAGGGATGGAGCAGCCACAGCTCCCCTTGGAAGCCTGTACCAGGAACTCACCACCCTCACAGGGAAGAATTTGTTCTTAGGTCTGATCTAAACCTGCTCTCTCAGTTGGAAGTGTTATCCAGGTGCCTTGTGGCAAGTACGCAGCAGCAGCTGCTCAGCTCAGGTGTGTTCCAGGCACTGGAGCTGCAGGAAGCACCTGTGCAGTGTGGACACTGCTGTTGGGCAGCACTGGGCTTGCTCCAGGTGTGCTGCAGGTGCCCAGCTGTAACGCAGCCTGTGTTTCTGGGAAGTGATGGACGAAGTGACTTAGTGTCCATGTATCCAACAACCTGGGCATACTCCAAAACAGCAGAGGTTCTGCCTGGTGCACACCCACCCCTAAGACTTGAGGAACACTTATATGGAAGTGCTGTAGTCCTCTATTCTGAGAAGTTTCCCCCACAGTACTCCACAGTGAATGAACGTTAAAAGAGCAAATCCATACAGGTATGTGTGGGGAAATCTAAGGTTCCAAAGGTAGTTACAGGAGCCAACTGGTAGAAACAAAAGCAATGTTTTTGGATGGGTGTTTGAAGCTGGAGTGGAAGATACACTTCCTTCCTAATTTTGAAGATTGGTTTTGGAATGATTGATAATTTAGTCCAAGGAATGTTTACTACTAAGGCACTTGGGCACTTCTGAGAAGTTTCCCATTGACTGTTTATGAGGGAACTGGGGTCTTTGCATCCTTGGCAGTGCAGCTGCATCACAGGCAGCAGTAATGCTGTGATCAGCCTCCTCCATCCCCTCCCTCCCCAAGTTCTGGAGCTCGCTTAGTGTTTCACTAGCCAGTTCCAGATACCAAAAATCAGGTAACATCACATTCTCCACTAAAAAAATACAGTTTCCAGACAGCTTGGCTCATGGAATGAAATAAGCCTACATTTGGTAAAATGAGTGCATTGTTGCATCCCAGCAAAAGCTGCTTCTGTGCAGAGATTTGCGCAAATTTGGTGATTTGTGCAGAATTTACCTCATCAGTAAGCTTTCAATCTCTAGTATTCCATACATCCGATTGTTTCTCTGGTATTCTTTTTCCTTAAGGAACAGGAGATTTTATTATTGTATCTTAGTTCTGTGAAGCTGTATTTTAGCTTTGTGAAAGTAGTGGTTGATGATTCAAAGATAACACATCTGAGATAGATTTGAAGCTGTTGTAGTTGCCTCTGGGCTTTATTGAAAGGGACAACGAAGACAAGGAAATTATAAATGTATAGTTGCATATGTACAATCTAGTCATGTACTCAATACTGGTTTTCTGAAGCTGATATATATGGTCTAGATATAAGATATCATTGTGTTTACTATTCCATTTTATGTATTTTTCATGCTGTCTTCTTTTTTACAGACTTTTTGGTGGCAAGCCTAGTAAACAAGTTCCCATCACAACAGCTGAAAATATGAAAAACTCAGTAGTCATCTCCAACCCTCACGCTACCATGAACCAGCAGGGTAATCTTGACTCCCCATCTGGCAGTGGTGTGCTGAGTAGTGGGGGCAGCAGTCCCCTTTATGGTAAAAACACAGATCTCAACCAGTCTCCACTAGCTTCCAGCCCCAGTTCTGCACACTCAGCTCCTTCCAACAGTTTGACATGGGGTACCAACGCTAGTAGCTCTTCTGCAGTTAGCAAGGATGGCATTGGATACCAGTCTGTCAGCAGTCTTCACACCAGCTGCGAATCCATAGACATCTCCCTGAGCAGTGGAGGTGGGCTGAGCCATAACTCCTCCAGTGGCTTGATTCAAGCCTCCAAGGATGATTCTCTGACTCCCTTCATCCGAACCAACAGTGTTAAGACTACGTTGTCTGAAAGGTTTGTGGGTTTTTCTCTTGTTTCCATATATTTGTATCTCAGGTGGGAATGAAGCCCTGCCAGCAGTAGCCAGCACTGCAGACAGAGATCAAGTAATGCCTCTTACCAGTTAATGCACATAACTCTAGGACTAGAACATAAAGATAAGTTATTTCAGGAGAAAAGCAGGAGGATGGGTTCAGATGAGGTTTTTAATTTGCTGTGACAGCCAATGTGACAGCTTGTTTTTGCTACCAGATGGTACCTAATACTTGAATTTTGCATCATTGGTTATCTTTCCAAAGATCTTCTGTTAATTGAGCTGATAGTGATATTTAAAAAGCCTCCGAATTTTGATTTGAAAAGTCAACTGTTTCCTGTTAAACTTTTTGATTATAGAATTTGACAACTTTCAAACTGGAGGTGATGCTGAAAAGACAAGTCCCCATCTCCATAGTCGCTTGATCCCTTCTCATCCTCTCCCTGCTGCCTTATCCCATCTCCAATTGCTCCCTACAATATTTTAGCACAAGCATTCATGTGAATGCGTGGTGAATCCTATTAGAAGCTGGATCCAAGTGAAAAACAATCAGCTGAATTGTATTTCAGATTGACCAGTTCCCCAGCTCTGTATGCGATGAGATTCACTGGTACCTGTGTGGACACAGGGTAGGACCTGAGAGGAGGCTGAGCAGGGAGGAGGGAGCAGGGCTTTTCCAGCATCGGAGCTGCATTGGTGGCACACTGAGCTGACACTGGGGTGAACTTGGCAATGGTCTCTGAGGGACCCCTTGTAGATGGCAGTAGAACCCTTCCAAGCACTGGAAATCAGCTACATCCTGATGTATAGTGATGAGTTCAGGTATCAAGATTTTTGTAGCTGTGTCTCAGTGGAGAAAATTGCACCTGAATGTAATGTTCTGACAGTTTGGAGTTCGGATTGTGTTTTATTGTAATGCCCTTTTTTTTCTCTCATCTTTTCATTCTAATACTCCTTCTCTTGTTTTCTGTCTTGTTGAACTGCTCTTTCCAGCCCTCTTTCTTCCCCTGCTGCTAGCCCCAAATTCTGCCGAAATACTTTGCCCAGGAGACAGGACAGGTAATGCTGTCTCAGGACAGTAGTACGCTCAAGGCTGTAGGTTTTGTTGCCCATCTCAGTGAAGCAAATTGTTTTGTGCCAGGCTGTGCTCAATTGAGCTGTGTTCAGTCTGCTGTGTTCATCATCCAGGTGTGAACTGACACAAAGACATGCCAGTGAGAGTCCCTGTAAACACCCATCTACTCACTCAAATCAATCTGGAGAGGGGCATGCAGCACAGGTGGCATGTTTTTGGTGTTGCTGTTGTTTCTGAGAATGTCCTTTGGTTTGGGGGTGTATTTTTAACCCACCCTTCATATCTTTCCAAAAGGCAATTTGTTAATCATGCCCTTTTTTTTTTTCCCTTACAAATATAAACTCTCACTAGCATTTCAGCATTCCTCTGGCATGCTGCTTTTCTCACTGCCTTTCTGGCCTGTCCTTTTTGTCGTGAAGTCCCTTTGTCATTTAGTGTCATCAGTCTCTTACTGCAGCTTGGCTCATGAGTGTTTTCCAAGTACTTAGGTACATTCATTCTTGTACAAATGAATGCTGAAATTAGGAAAAGATGACACAAATCTAAACATTCCAGCTCACTTTTGCTCACTGATGTATACTGTAACTTAGCTATAAGGGTTGTCATGTAATTAATTTACTTAAGCATGGGGATATTTTTTAAAAAACAAATTAACAGGCTCTGCTCATCAGTTGTAAAAACATAAACAGAAATAGCTGAGCTTTGGGTGACTGATTGGTCCATTTTACTTTGCTAATGGAACTTAGGCTAAGATTTGAAAATTTAAAGTCTGGGCTCAATACCTCTGTACATTCCCTAAATGGTGTCTGCTGAAAGAAATGATGGGAAGATGGTTTGGACTTGAAGATTCCCATTGGGTTTCACCAACAGCCTGCTGAAAAGGCTATTTTTAAAACACCCATTTGATGTTTGAAGAGCCATTTTTGTTCACTGTGGGTAGGAGAAACAGTGAAATGATGTTGTGAACAGATGTGGTGCATTGGCATGGTACCAGCTGCATGTTTGTGCAAACCCCACCTGGGTGAGGAGGTCTGTGCATGTTTCTGTAGGGAGGCCCCAGCACCTTTTCCTCTGAAAAGGTGATGCAGATGTTTGTACGTCCTTCGTCCTGATCTTATTCCTTCCCTTTTGTTCTTCTCTGAAGTTCTTTTCTTTTAACTTTCCTGCAGTGACCCACATCTTGATAGGAACACTTTGCCTAAGAAGGGACTCAGGTATTGGTGTTTCCACGTGGTTTAACATCTTTTGTGGTGCCTTTGGAATTTGCTTTGTGTTTCTGTTGTGGCTGGTGGTGATGGTCGCAGTTTGCAAGAGGTGGCAACAGTACTCTTTCTTTTTTCCTTCTTTCTTGCTTTCTTGCTTTCTTGCTTTCTTGCTTTCTTGCTTTCTTGCTTTCCTTCAGTCCTCAAAGAAAGCCATTGACAACTGTGCTTTTTTCATCCAGTGGCCTCTCTGCTTGAGCAGAAATTGTCTTTTGTTGGCTTAATTGCTGAAAAGCATCTTGAACCATACCTGGGCTTGATTTAAAAACAATGATGTTGCTGTTTCTGTGGCTGTTACATGGAATGACCTAAGACTGTTTTTTAACCCTGGGAACCTTGGTGTTGTTATATAAACAGAAAAGATTTACAAGATCATGCCAAACCTTTCAGGATGAAATTGGATATATTAATTAAAAAAAACAGAACAACAACTTGCATCAGAATACCTAAATCTCTAGGGCTCTACTCTCATAGAAAATAAAAAAAAAAAAATCAAAATCAAATTAACTTTCAGGAGTTATCTTCTCACATATTTTGTACATCTGTAAAGCAGTGAATTTATAATATACTTCTTTTTTCCCCATTGATACAAGCAATTCTAACCAGAATTACTATTGGCTATGTTAATTAAATGCTTCATGCGTTAGAGAATTTACAGAAGGTATCTTTGACAATTTAGGAAATTGCAGCTTCTGAATTGCTTAATGCAGCTTCTGGGATCGCTGCCTTGGAACTGCAGCTGTGATTTTTTTTCTGTGCTATGCATCTTGTTCTTCACAGCAGCCTTGCACCATGAAGCTGAGTACTAAAAGCCTTTCTTAAAATGGCAATTTGTTTTAATGTTTCTATGGTCCTCAAGTATGTCTCTAATAAATGCTCTCTTCTAAGATAAAAACATTTGAGTGCTGAAGAGGTAGGTGTTAATGCTGAAAACAAAAATAAATCTGTAGTGTGTTAAGGTAACATGGCTATTTAAAGCCCATTTCTAAATAAACTGATTTATATGCAAAGTTTATGAGATGCAGATTGTCAGGGACTGCTGCTGAAGTATTGAGGCATAAACAGAAGCATGAATGTATTTTTTGGAACAGTTTGACTTTTTAAATCATTGCAGTGTTTCCATTGATTTAAAATAGTCTTAATAAGTGATGTCTTACTGCTGTAGGGTATTTACTTGAAGGGAATCAAATTAATTAAATAGATAGTATCAGCAAATAACAGGCTCTAAGTTTTTGGAAGTAGAGCTAGTAACTCATAAGTATTTGTCGAAAGGCGATGGCATAGCCCAAGACAGACACTGAATTCCATCAGCAGACAAGTGTTTCCATGATGCTCTGGCTGTTGATACCTGTACCCTATCATGAGCTCACATAACACCTATCCTGATATACCTATTTTTCACACATATACACAATAAATTAAGCTTAAGCTGAAGCCAGTGGGTGTTCTGCCACTGATGTTGGCATAGACCATGTTTCTGCTATCTTCATTACCTTCAGAAAAGGCTAAACATAGTCTCCTTTATGATGTTTTAATGTTGTTAGGTTTGAACTAAATGGGATACACCTCCACAGGCCTTATATTAATGTCTCTGGCATATGAAATACTGGGTCACAGCTTGTTGAAAAAAATCCTGATAATGGTTTGGTTGACTTGAATTTGGTTATAATTCAAAATATTTAAATAGTGCTAGAATTTTGGCATTACTTGGGGAAAGGGTTTCCAAGTTACAGTTTTATTTTTAAATCATATGATGTAGCACACACTACCTATTACCCTACAGTGCTACACTGCACAACTTCTACCTGTAACATTTGGTTCACTCTGGTTTGGTTACACCTGAAGCCATAGGAAAGTTTGTGGTTTGGTTTTTCCCCCCAGAGACAGAGGTGAAATTATTTAGGAACATGTTGGAAGAGCTTGGAGCAGCTCCTTAATTAAGAATTCTATTTAGTTTATATTATTTAATCCTTTAATTTCATATGAGGATTCTTCCATTTTTCTTTTTCTTTCTCTCCTACCCCAAGCCTTGTGGCATTTCATGGTTGGTTTGTTTTTTTTAAAACAAGAAAGTCTAATAAATATCAAAGTTCATAGTGAAAAACCTGTTTTTGCAGGTATACTCCATCCTCCCAGCTCCGTAGTCAAGAGGATGCAAAGGAATGGCTCCGGTCCCATTCAGCAGGAGGACTGCAGGACACTGCTACCAATTCTCCATTTTCATCTGGATCCAGCATAACATCACCCTCTGGAACTAGATTTAACTTCTCGCAGCTTGGTGAATAATTATCTGTTTGAATAATCACGGCAATGCATTGTATGTCCTGAAAACAGCATGTTACACAAGATAATTTTCTTTCAGCAACTCCACCTGAGGAGGCACCTTCATTGAAATGAGTGTGACTAATTAGCATTATCTTGTATGCCCAAAGGTGCCATACTTTAAGTAACTTTGAAACTGCTTCTCTGGGAGTAATCAGATTCCTTAATACAAATTGTGAGCTTTATAAAATATTCAGTAGAGCTGTCAGTTAATATCACATATTGGGGGTGCTTCAAGCACATAAGATGTTGCCTGCTGTACAGTAATAATTCTCTAAAATCCAAGCATTTTACATACTGTATATGCCAGTCTCATCAGTCTGGAATTTTATCTTTGTCTTTTTCAAGTGGCTTGTTGGAAAATTGCAGAAAGCTCAATCAAGCAATGTATAAAAGTCAGGAGAGTTTCAAGTCAGAAAAACTGTCATTCCTTCACTCAATCTCATTTAAAAATGTGTTTTAAATGAAGGAAACAATAAAAGCTGATTGGCAGGAAGCATTGCAGGTTTTAGCTGACTCTATCAGCAGTTGAAATAATCTGATTTAAAGTGCTAGTGATGCTCATCTCTGGTGGGCTGGTTAAATACGACTTACTTGCTTTGCAATTTCTTCAGATTTGTAAATTTTGTCTTTAAGTAACACTTGGAAAGAAAGCACCTGTTTGTTTATGACTTTCAGAATCCTCTCCGTAGTAATAATTATTATTTAAAATAATTATATTGTTTATGATAACTTATATATAACTAGTTTATATATAATAATTATGTGCAAAATAGTTAAGCTTGTGAACTTCTTGGGTGAATTTGGAGCAGATTGCACCATCACTTACTTCTAGTGTAGTCTTGATTTGTGGTAATGACATTCTAGAGCCTTTCTTTGATTGTTCTGGAAAGAAACACATTCAGTAAGCGGCTTTAAATAAATTGACACTTATCAAAATTTCAGCTGAATAAACACATAGCGTGTCTATATTTCCAACAGCTAGCAAACTGTCACGAAGGTTCATGAAATTTTTTTTAAAAAGTAACCAAAAAGTGTTGTCATAGGCCCAAAAATAGAACTCTTTATGTGGAGTTTTGGAGATTATTTGTATTAGCTTCAAAAGCTATTTGGCCACAAACAGCAGTGAATAAAAAAAAAACCAAAAAAGAAAATATGTTTTTCTATGTTCTTAAGTAGAGAGCTTAGAGATTTTGGAGTTAAGAGGGGTCATTGGATTTAAGAGCAAATGATTGTATGAAAGTCCAGCACCTGTAAACTGAATTATTGTGTCTTCTACAATAGTCTTTATCAGTTGATGATCTATATAGAAACAGGTAATGACAGCACACTACGAGGAACCTGACCAGATGAACAGTGATTTTGTTCTCTTTTTTTACCCACAAACCAACAAATAGTTTAATAGTTTAAATAGTAGGCATAATTTTAGCAGAGAAGTTCTTTCAAGAAATGCAAGATTGGAGTACTTTTAACACTGGTTGGGAGAATATTTGCTTTCAAGGCAAAACTAATATTTTACAGTTCTCAGGACATAGTGGAAGGAAAGTTCTGAAATATACAACTATTAGGAAATTAAAGCTATTTATATTTGTAACTAAAATACATAGAAAAATGTAATTTTCTTAGAGCTTGAAGGCTTTGAAGAAGGTAAGTCCTGCTCCGTATAGACAAAATACTACAGCTTTTGTAGAAGAACAGTTCCAAAATAATTGAAGGGTTAATTAGCTCATGCCTGGGAGCTGTTAGTGAGGTGACTGAGCTTGTTTGTGGAAGCACGGACATATCACCCCGTGTTTGACCTCATTTTACTTGAGTTTTTACATTCACTAGCTTAGCGTGCTTACCTCTTACTTGAAAAACAATGAAGCCTGGAGAAGATGATATCGAAAGTTTGTGTCTTGAAGTAGGGGGGAAAAAAGTTTACTGGTAGTTGCACAAAAAAAAAAAAAAGTATGGAAATCTGTGTTTCCTGGAGTAACTGTGTGTTTGTTGCTGGCTTTGCAGCAAGCCCCACAAGTGCGGCACAGATGAGCCTGTCCAACCCCAGCATGCTGCGCACACACAGCCTGTCCAACGCAGACGGGCCCTACGACCCCTATGGTGACACGCGCCTCCGCAACAGCTCCATGTCCCTGGATGAGAAGAGCCGCACCATGAGCCGCTCCGGCTCCTTCCGCGACGGCTTCGAGGAGGGTCAGTAAAGTCCCATGGTGCTAGGAATGCTCTAGGAGTGGCATTCTCACGGGAACTCAGCGCTTTTCAGGTCAAACACAGCTTTCTCAGCTCTCAGTGTTCGGTCAAACCATAGTCCTTGTCACAGTTGTTCTGATTGTAGAATCAGAGTGTTGGAAGAGACCCACAAGGATCATCAAATCCAGCTCCTGGCCCTGCCCAGGTTGCCCCAACAATCACACCATGTGCCCAAGAGCATTGTCCAAACATTCCTAAAACTCTGCCAGTTTTGTTGCTGTGACCACCCCCCTGGGGAGCCTGTTCCAGTGCCCCATCAGGCTTTGGGGGTGATTTTCCTGATGTCCAAACTAAACCTCCCCTGACATAACTTCAGGACATTCTCTCAGGTCCTATCACTTGTCACTAGAAAGAATGATGATGTTTATTCAATGTTTGTTTTGGTCAGACACAGGAAATAAGTATTGTACCTAGACCTTGACTTTTCAAGAAATGGCTTAAACATATCCTGTGCTTCATTTTTAGTGCTCTATGAATGACTAATTCATGCTTAGAGTCAGCCTGTTAGTGTTTCTTCAATAGGGGTATTCTGAACTTGCACCTCCACAGTTCTGCTTATAGCATAGATAATTGATACCAGTTGGACTGTTTCTATCCCAGTAATTTTTCCAGTATTTAATCTGTACTCAAATTGTCTTTGCTTTTCATTTCTGTTGAATGTCCTGGCTTGATACAATAGATCTTCCAAAGAAAGGAATTGAGTAGTTCTTCAAAACATCTAAGCTTGTGTTTTTAGTGCTTCATCATCTTTTCAAATATAACCACACCTGATAAAAAGAACCCATGTAAATATAATTTTAAAAAGCATTTACCTTTAAATGAATATTTAGTTTGGTTGCTCCTGATCAGGCATCCCTGTGGCTGTAGCAGGAGTGGCTGTGAGCACACATTAAAATCCTCAAGTATTGCACTTGTGAAAAGTCAAGCATGGAGTGGTTCATAGGAAACTCTTTCAACATTAACTCTTCGAGTCTTAAATCTCCTTTCTGGCAAGGGTTGGGGGCTTGATTGTACTTTACAGATCACACAGGCCTTTGATGACTCTTTCCTCTGCTTCTGAAGAGCTGCACTTACTCAGCACCATTAATACCAGTGTCCCATGGTTGCTGCTCCCCAAGAGCTAGGCATGCACAGGACCCAGACTTCAGTGCTTGCAGAAGCATTTGTGAGCCACAAAGTGCCCTCCTGGAGATTCTGGTTACCCCATCATGTTTTTATGCCATTGGAAGAGGTGGAAAACATTGGATATGGCTCTGGAAAGATTAATTAATTGGTTATTGAATTTAATCAATCTGACATCAGTATAAACTGTATTTTAGAGGTCTGTGGCTGAGGATTTTCATTAGAGGTTGAAAATTATTAGAATAATGCTGTAGGGCTAAAAGCTGGGTCATTGCAGGGATTAACCTTTCTTTGCTCTCAGAAGGCTGAATGATCATAAACAGTCGAAGACTGCCAGATGCTCAGTCAGTCAAGTTCCATACTGTGATGAAGTCATGCTCTTAATAAATTGTCCTCTAATATAATCTGTAAAGGAATTTGAATCACTGCATCTGTGTCACACTTCAGTGATTTACTGGAAGAGCTACTGCAGCAAAACTTACTTCGGTTTTATTGAAGACATCCTCCAAAAAATTGTAGCCTTAATCTTTTAACTGTGCTGAAGATTGCAGCAAATCCATTTTGGCACATTGGAGGTTAAGCTCTTCCTTGTAGTTCAGAAATTCTTGTCCAGCAGAGAGGCTAGTTTGGATAAACATTTAATAAATATTGCATGTTTGAATATTGCATATTGAATGGTTTATACCACTAAAAAAAAAAAAAAAAAAAAGGAAAATTTGAAAATAGTTAGGTGAAATGTTCTATTAAGCACTTTCGATTGATTTGGAAAAAAAGTAATGGAAATGAAGTCCAAGAAATATCCACTAAGTTATGGACTTGAAAGTGGTTGGAAAATACCACTTTTGTATCTGAGGAATGAATCTGACCCTACAGTGGACATGCTGAAGATCCTTTTCAGATTTACTTCCATTTTTCACACCTAAAAGGATAATAATATTTTATCAGATGGATTGAATGTTTAGGTGTAGTCTCTGTACTTTTTTCTTTAGGAGAAAAAATCAGTTCCCTGGCTGTAGAAAAGGCAGGAGTCACCTGCTTACTAGCTCCTGCTTATTTCTTAGGGAATCACAAGGTCTAAGTGATCAAGTGCTTCTAAATATAGTAGAGATTTGCCTTCACTTTGAAAGAATAGATTAAAAAAATATTATAGAAATTTAAATTTGTGGTTAATGAACAAATTGATTTTATACAATCATTAAGTGTCAATGAAGCACAAATCCAGGTCTTAAATAAAGATTACCAACCTACTTCTTTATTATTTCCTAGCACATAAGATAACGAGATATTTGTTTCTCATTAACTTCAGCAGGGCCAGGATTTATTCTGTAAAGCCTTTTTTTCTCTTGTCTTTGGGTGTGAAGTGCAGTCATGCATGCAAGTCATCTTGCAGTACATAACTCTTGTGACAGACAGGGTTAAGGGCTGTGGAAGTGCCAGCAGGAACACCTTTCAAACTCTCCAGAACTGCATGGGGAAAAAATATAGCGTAAAAATTGCATGGTCTCTTGGCTCTCCAGTTTCCCCACTCCCCCAGCCAACAGTCTTCCCCAGGAGCTGAGCTCCACCCTGATACTTCAGCCTCCAAGAGAAAAAAAAAAATTAAGTCCATTATCATTGGGATATAAATTGTTATTCCTTTTGCTGCTACTGACTGCATGCAACACCAGTTCTTCTTTCTGTTTTCTGGGCAGATGATCACGGCTAGGAGCCTTTCTTTTCTAAAAATTATACATGCTTGCCTGTGCATTTACAGTGCTTTAAAATAATAGCTCCAGACCAATTTGGGTTTGTAGCCTGCGTGCAGATGCATGCTGGCTGCAAAAAACAGGAATTGTATCACGAGCCTGCCTTCAGGCCCCTAATTAAATAGCCTTCAAGTAGCCATCTGCAGATACATTAAAAAGAAATTGCACAAATATATTAACTCCTTAGTTTTCCTTGAAATGAGACATCTGAAATGATTCACAGGATCAAACGATGCACATGAGTCACCATTCATGGAGGAATTTAAGAGCCATGCAGATGTGGCACTCGGGGACATAGTTTAGTGATCACCTTGACAGTGCTGGATTAATGGTTGGGCTGGATAATTTTAGATGTCTTTTCCAGCCTAAATAAATCTATGGTTCTATGTGATGGTGATGTTTCACAAGGCAAGAGTAGGATTCCCAGAGTCATATGTTCTTTCCTTTTTTTTCTCATTTCGAGTCTTCTCTCCTGTATTAAAATCCCAATGTGATCTTAAAAATTCCAGCTGATTCTAACTCAAAGATGTGTGTGACCAAGTCCATGATAAAGGTTTCTGTTTCCTCTCTGTCCAGCTGGTAGGGCTCTTTTTTGGTTACATCTCTTTTAGGAAAAGAATTCAACAAGGAAGAATATAGGGAGGCAGACCAGAAAATAATATTATATTCCCTGTATGGGTCCATTTGTGGCCTTGTGCAATATTTCTTCACTTTGGGCATTCCATCTTGAAAATCTTAAAGGGAAAATGCAAGTAAAGAAAAGTGAGAAGATCTTAAGCACAGAACATCTATTATACAAAATCAAAATCTTAAGCTTGGAAAATGATGGCTGAAGGGATGTGTATTGAATTTGTTTTGTTGTTGAGATTGGTTATCCATTCCTTCTCTTAGCACAGTGGCATGGAGGCACTCAAAGAACTTACTGATTCAGCAGCAGGTCTAAAACAACTGCAAAGAATTACATTTCTGAACACAAGAAAATTTTTCATTACAGACAAAATGTATCAGCAGGTTCAGTAGCAGTTAAGTGAGTTAATGGTAGAGAAGTCACAGCAGGCAAAATAATGGTCTGACTGCAGTTTCCATCCCTGGAATTTCCATCTTTGCTGATTCCCAGAAGGTGCAAAGATGTACCTGGGGAATAATCACTGTGTATCTGTCTCTTTTCATTCTTTTCAGTAAACATGAGCTGTGGTTGCACCCAAGGTTGGAACACATCATTAGACAGAGCCTGGCTCTGACTCACGCCACTTATTTTTATGTTCTTAGTGGAGTATAGTCCTTAATGCCTAACTAGAAAGATCATTTTAATTGAAAATATGATTACCCAGAGAAAGCAAATGGATGTGATGTTCTTTTTTTTACTTTCTTGTGGGTTTTTTAGATTGTCTTACATTCCTTCAGAAGCCAACTTAGACCTTGTTTACTTCTCTTTCCCGTATTGCCTTAGGATATAATGTCAGTGGGAAAGCAGAATCCATTTATTGCAAATGTAGAATTGCAGTAGGTAATTAGACCAAAATGGCAGCTTTCCTAAACTTTTTTTTTTTTGTGGCTGGAGGATTTAGGAAAAGAAAAAGTGATTTTATGCTTTTTTATATGATTTGTGTTCGGTTACCTGAGTTTTGAATTGAAGTTTCAGTTCAATACTGTTAGTTTCTAAAAATAAAGGAAAAGTAATTTTGCATGTTTCAGGAGCAGAAAGAATAGCTTCATGTACTTCTTTTCAATAGCATAATAGAGAATGAAATGATGTTATATTTATATGTAAACCCTGATGTCTGAGTGATGGTAACAACCTTCAGAATCACAGAATAGTTAGGGTTGGAAGGGACTTCTGAAGATCATCTACACCATCTGTGTATATGTATGTCCTTTATTGATTTTAAATGCAAAAATTGCTTGAAACTTATCCTTTTCCAGAAAGTTTTGTAGCCATGTTTTCACTGTTAATTTCTTTATGAGAGAACAAATTTTGCCATGTTAAAAAATGTTGTTGCTTTAAAGAAAGACCAAGAAATCCTGCAGGGAAAGGGAATGTTCGGTTTATTGATGCACTGATACAGCTCCCTTAAGTCAGCAGAAGGAAGATACAGCTGCATTTAGATGACAATTCACAGGGCCAAAATTGTTGACAATGTGGTTTTATCCTAGGTCCTCCACATTTTCTCCTGGAGCATCTGGTTACAACACAGGTGTTGTGATTTTCTCAGGACATTCCCATCCTGAAAAATAAAGAAACCCTGTCAGTCTCATCTAAAACTGAAGATTAAATACTTAGATTTAATTTTGTAATCTCTTTTGCATTTCTTGGGGTTTTTTTAATCTTGAGTAAGCCTTTTTGCAAGAATTTTAAGATAACTGTCCAGAGAAATATGTATCTCTGAACAGATCTTCATCAAAACTTTTTTAAACTTTCTTGGCCACACCTAATTTTCCCAAACAAACAAGTATTATGAGAATTTTAAAACAGCTTTACTAAATCCAAGGTTATGGATCATATATAACTGGACACAGATTCTTCAAACCATACATTATTGGTGCAAAAATATAATTAAGTTTATGATGATGGATGATGAAATCTGTGAAAGTATTTCTTCAATAGATTTGTGGTTGACAGTGGATGATTTATGACGATTCCATTCTGTGGTTAGTGCACTTATATTCATTGTGCTTATTTTCTTTCCTTTAGTGCATGGTTCTTCTCTCTCTTTGGTGTCCAGTACGTCATCTATTTATTCCACAGTGAGTATAATGAAATGGAGAGTTTATTTATTCATCAAAATTATTGAATTGACTGGTCTTGCTATTTAGTTTTGCCATTCAAGGAGGAGGAAAAAAGCAGTTTTCATTTGACTGTGTTCTGAATGTTAGCTACAAAAGGAATATTTATGTTTTTGAAGATGCCTGTGGGTATTTAGCAGTATCCTCATTAAACACAGACTTCAATGGCCTAAAAGCAGCCATTGATTTTTAGAGTCTGTATTTTATGCTGTGCTAAGTAGGTTTTGCTACAAAGCCCCTCAGTAGATAGGAGATTTGAACTTCATTACTTATAGCACCCCAAAATTTGCTGAATAAAGTCATCCCATCCTTCTATTAATGTATTGCTACTAAGGAAGTTTAAGTCCACTTTTAATGCACAGATATTAATAATTCTAAAAAAAGGCCATTTAGTCGCTATGCCAGTAACATTTTCTCCACAAGTAGATATTCATTAAGGCTAAAATAAGGCTTTCAAACAGGAGTTTGAAAATACAGGGGAGCACTCAGAGCTTCAGGTTCCTGTGCTTGCTGCATGAGTGGCCCCAGTAGTGTGTTTGGATAGGTGTAATTTTCCTGGAGGCTGTTAACAGGCATGTTTACTTAGAAACAGTGGAGTGTGTGACCTCCTACCCCATACTTCTCCTTAGCTGATAATTGTGGTTAGAAACAGGCCTTAGTAGCCACAATTCTATCATGCTGACCACAGTGGATGGTCAGTACATCCACTTGGCACCCTCACAACTGGCTGTGTGTCCTCACTTTTTCATTGCCGCAGTGCTTAGGTAGCACCCAAGTGGGAGGAATTTCACAATTTTTTTTCACATCACTGGAATGCAAAAATGTGGCCTCCTTCCCATGGAGACCTGAGCATGGGATGAAGAGAATTGCCTAGGATCAGCCAAGTTCTGTGGCAGTCCTGGTTCTTCAGAGCCTCAAGCAGTCCCTTATGAACAGAGCCAGGACTTCTTGCTTCTGTGATTGAGATGAGAGGTGCAGTGGTCAGCAGGCTGGGAGGTGGAGCCCAAACTCCTTCCTGCAGAAGGAAGTACCTCCAGCAGCCTATTTTCTTTTTCCTTGAGAGTAATTAGGAAATGAAATTAGACTGAATATGGATGTGGGAATCCAAAATAAGGAATTCACATTAGAGATTTTGAAATACAAAAAGAGAATTTGCATAAATTTGTCAGTCTGGTTATGTTGTAATATCCTCATATACTTCCTTTTATTTTACAGCCTGAAGAGAAGTGCCAGTCAGAGGTAAGAGCACATCCTCTTTGCAAGCATAAATGACACTCTGCACTGTGTGTCTTGCTGTTTTATTTCTCCTTGTTATGATGCACTGAGGTGTTCTCCTAAAACCCGCAGATTCGCAAGCTGCGGAGAGAATTGGATGCATCCCAAGAAAAAGTGTCAGCTCTGACAACTCAGCTGACTGCTAATGTGAGTACAACTCTGAGCAAACATTAACCTGGAATGCATTTAATGCAGCAACTACTACCCGTATTTTTTAAGTGACAAAAAGATATCATATATATAATATTCAGTTCATATTACTGATGTGTTTAAAGAAATAACTGCATGCATGTGTGAGACATGTCCAAAAATAGCATCCTCTGCCCTATTAAATTATCTTACACCTTTCTTTAAAAAATGAGTTATAATATTAAATTGGCTTTGTACGTATGTGAGCCATTCTAAAGTGCGGAGAAATAATTGAGGACGGGTTTTTTTAATAAATAAAATGTCTTGCTTTGACATTTGGATGGCATGAGATAGAGATTATGATTAGTAGGAGTAAAAGTTAATAGAAACTTAGACTGAAATGCATTATGTTTTTCTGTTGCATAAAGATGAGGGTTAATGGCATAATAGATAATACAGGCGTAGGGGGCTCTGGAAACTAATTTAAAGTTAAGCCTAAAGAATGGAGATACCTGACTTTTTGTCAGTGTAGACAATACTTCTGCTTGTTCCTTTCAGGAATTTGAGGGATAAGTAATTTAAGATACTCGGGGGAAAAAGGGTACTAGGAATCCAAGAGGTGTTGAGGCAATATTGTATGACTCTGAGCAAGTTTATTTGTGTGTTCTGTGCTACAGTCACAGATAGCTACAACACAGAAGCTTGCAAGGAGAATAAGCAATTCTAGAGTAAATAAGATGCAGATGAATAGTCAGCAGATCAGATCATACTGACATTCTGGTTTATGGGAATGAATAAACATAAGAACATGTGCTGCTTGAAGGGGACATTCCTCTCCATCAGCTCTTTGAATCTTTAGGGGGAGTGCAAAGCTTGGGGTAGGAAAGGACAGGTTTCACCTAAGCAGTATCACAGGAAAGGTTCAAGGGAAAATCTGTGCTGTCCACTGCAGGCATCAGAGTGCTTTGTCCAGCTTGAAAATGGGCTGGAAAACAAAGAACACAGTTATAACAGAAAAGTCAAATAAAAGGGCTTTGACTGCATGAAACCACCTAGTCACTGTCCCAAGAGGAAAAGGAAACAGTTTAAACATCTTGCAAAAGTTAAAATTTGTATTTGCCTTTCAAATACAAAGTGGATGCATACATGAATTGGTTTTCCCACAGAAGTTTCTTTTATTGTGGGAAAGCAGGACCAGATTCTCTTGCATAGGTTTTTAATGATGTTGTTAAATAACCCAGCTTGTTTCCTTCACACAAAAAACTTGTCAGCTGAGCAGCTCATATGGCTCTGCCTTGGCTTTATTGCATTCTCCTTCCCACAGTTCAGGGTCACTGGGCTGGTGCTCAGCTCAGGCTTCTCGCTGCCTGGCCCAGCTGCTCTTCATCTGCTCAAGAATTTCTGTGTGGTTACTACTACTCTTCGCAGAGAACAGTTTTTAATGTACACCCCTGTATGTTTTTGTTTGGATTGGGGTCTTTTGGGGTTTTGTAGGTTTTTCTTGTGGGCTTTTCTCAAAAAAGTTAACCTATCATTTATTATTTTGATAATATTCTATTTTTGCTTAGTTCCTTTTAAAATTTTGCAGTGTTTTATTCATGCTATTTAAACGTCTTAGACTTGAGCCTGCCCTTCATTTGTCCATAAACTGGCTACAGACACGTTGCTATAACTGTCCTAGTATTAAATTTCAGTTTCTAATCACCTCCTTCCAGAGAACATGCCCTCTTTCCACGTGAAAGGCAATGCTTGTTCTCAAAAAGATCGAGATTAATAAATATTGTTAGTTAAGACACTTGAACATTTCCTTTAGACATGATTCCTTTAATAAAAGGCAATTAAAACTTAGACAATTCAAATTAATCTCTTCAATCTACAATTTTTTTTCAGAGTTTCCTTGCATAGACACTGCAATTGTTGATGCTTCTCAAGCATCAAGGGCATGAATTTGAAAACATTTTTGCTCCAGCTGTGGAAAGTGAAGATACATTTTTTTCCATAGCTCACTGAACGATTTTGAGATAGGAATAATTGCAAGATCCGGTTTTGAAAGAGCAGCTGGTTTTTAGGGCTCAGGTCAAAGCACTGAGAGTTTGTATCCTGTTGCTAACCCATGCACTCCTGCTTGCCTGTTTATTTTCAGCTTTTAAAAAGTAATGCTGAGGATCACTGGATATCAGCTTTGTTGTTCCCTGTTCATCTTCCCCAAAAGAAGCTGTGCACTCTATGTTTTTAAAATAAATATTTAGATTTTCTTATGTGTGTAGTGTTGGGTTTTGAATTACTTTTTGCCATTTTCTCACAGTTTCAGCTCTGCTTATTTTCATTGGGGTATCCCCATGTTATTGTACTGCTCATGCTTGTTTTCATTGTGAATGTGAGAACAGTTATTTAGGATAAGTCAACTGTGTGCTGCTGCTGAATGAGTCTGGAATAGCTCTGTGAAAAGTTTTGCTATTCTGTATTTTTTCAGGTGAGAAAATGACCTTTTCTGCTTGGAAAGATTTTACAGTTTTACTTGTCACTGTGCTTATAGAATTAATTTTAATAGATAAATAAAGCTATTTTTTTCTATCATGTGTAGATTATTATGGCTAATGAGACCAGTATCTATTGAAATATACCTGTGATCAGTTATATGTGTGTGCATGCATATGAATGGCCATTGAACAGTGCCATGTCATGTATCTAGAAATACAGTTTCTTGCGTTCTTTTCCATCTTCTCAATCTGTTTTTCCTTCTTTTTGCTTCTCAGTCATTTTCAGTTCCTAGCTGGTGCCTTTCCTGTAATGGACACTGCATTCTCCATGCTTCCTGGGAAAAAGAGTCAACATTCTTCTCCCAGGAAACACAGAGAAATCTTTCTTTTCTTTCCTTGGGAAATGAAAATAGGGTAATTGGCCAAGCAGCAGGAATTTTGGATGATATGTAGCAAGGTGCACTCAAATATTGGAGGAGTCTTTGAGTTAGATAGAGGTATATCAGCTGGCAAAGCATCTGTTCTCCTGGTGGGATAAACACAGTGAGAACCTCCATCCCTGTGACTGCCAGTATCTTTTTGCCTTAGTTATCCACAAGGAAAATAGTGGCTTAGTTGGAGGGAAGTTTCTGCCTGACTTTTCTCTATACAAAACCTTGATTTATATTTTATTGTTGGCAAGCATTTTCATAATGTAACTCTACTCATTTGACCTTTTCTAAGCAGTGTTGCTTTCTCTGCACCATTTATACAACAAACATTAAATACCTGCAGAAATACTCCTTTTGGGGGGAAGAGAACAAACTTGTGTGTGGTTTGATTTTAGGCTCACCTGGTGGCAGCATTTGAGCAGAGCCTGGGGAACATGACGATCCGACTGCAGAGCCTGACCATGACAGCAGAACAAAAGGCAAGCTTCAAAAGGGTTTGGGAAGTCTTCATTTCTGTTTCCAGCATTGTTGCCTGTGCTCCTGTAGCTGTGGTGGGGGGGAAAAGTCACATACACAATTTGCCTGACCTCCCTCATTTGTGGTGACAGAGTAAAATATAATAAATAATTTGTATAAAACAATCACATTTTCTGCTCTGGGATTTTGTGGTGACTGATCAGGTTGTTCCTATCAATTGTTGCTTTGGACACAAGTCTTCAGTATTACATATTTCTGCAATATATTTCATCCCAATGCATCCATACATGGGCATGTTTGAAAGAAACACCAAGAATACCTACAAGACTAGTGGCACCATAGTGTTTTTGGACAGTATACATGAATAGACATTATTTCTGCATTATAGAATACATGAATTTTTTTCTATCACAGTACCCAAGCTATTTTGCACCCTGTTGAGAGTGTGCTTCCCCAGGTATCCCAAACCTCATTTTCACCTCCTTGTACATATACCATAAATTCACTATGAACTACCAAAACTTAGATGGAAAATCAGCTTCTTTGGAGTTCTTCTTCCATATGTTTTTTCTTCCTAATTCAAGGACTCGGAACTGAATGAGTTACGGAAGACAATTGAACTCCTGAAGAAACAAAATGCTGCTGCTCAGGCTGCCATCAATGGAGTCATCAATACACCTGAGCTTAACTGCAAAGGTGAGAGACAAGCACCACATACAAAGACCCCAGGGCTCTCCAGTGAGACTTCAGTCCTCTGGATAATAGCTGATATAACCATTAGAGCTGTCCCGATACCAGAGTAACCCAGTAATTTACTGGGATAAATTGCTGAAGGTAAAGTTTGAAGCACCTCAGATTTTAACCTCATCACAGGAAACAAGGATTTGAAATACGCAATACATCCATTGGGATAAGTGATTGTCTGAGTGCTGGGTTTCCTAAATGTTCCTTCAGGATTGCATGATTAATACCATTCATCACATTTCCTAGATAACTTTGACACTGCCTCCATTCATATCCAGGTCCTGGAGCTGCTCAGCCCACGGACCTACGGATCCGGAGGCAGCACTCCTCAGACAGCGTCTCCAGCATTAACAGTGCTACTAGCCACTCCAGTGTGGGCAGCAACATTGAGAGTGACTCCAAGAAAAAGAAGAGGAAGAATTGGGTGAGTGTGTTTTAGCAGACTGTGAGGTTTATGTGAAATTGTCAGGACATGCATAGTGAAATCCACCCGGCTGCTCCTTCCTGCCTCATACAGCAGGTCAGCACAAGGACTCTGCACTGCTTAAATCCTGGGTAAACTTTCCTGTGAAGGCTTAATTGAGTTGTAAGTGATGTATATCCTTGTGTTGACTCTGCATAGGATTGAATTTTAGCTTGGCAGCTAAAAGGCCAGTCTTAAATTAGAAATAGCTGTCGAAGATCATTTCTGGCTAAAGGTGAAATTCAGCCCCTTAAAGAAAATGTGGCATCTGTCATTAAAGTAAAGCAAACACACAAGAGAAGATCATTCTTGTGGGTTTTGTCTTTTTTTTTATCTCATAGGGCTTTCTTAAAAGTGAACATATTAAACACTTTAATAACTCTTTGTCCAGCATTAACTTGGAGTTCTAAAAATAATATAAAAAAAATACTGATCTTTAAAATTTTTTTGTGACAGACATCTCTTTTGGAAGTTTTTGCAATACTTACCTGTCATTTCCCATTTTTCCCTCTTTGCTCATCACGTACTATGTACAAGGTACCTTGTACTGGAGGAAAGGTACATTATCTTCAACTCCATTTTCAATTAGACCATAACTGCCTTAGTTACCTAGTCTGACTGTAGTTTGGACTGAAGTCCTAGATCCTTTATTGTAGCAGTAAAATAACCCCTTTCTTCCCATTGAATTAAGTCTCCCTGGGTCCCTTGGATATACAGGTAAATCTGTAGAGATGCAAAATGGGGTTAGAGATGGTAAGAGCTTCATTCTTATTTGCACATTATCCTCTCAGAAATGTTGATGAAACTCGTGAACTGTCAGAAAGAGCTTCCTGAACAAGTTCTGGCTTTTATTTCTCTCTTATCTCAGAGGTTTCATTTTGGTATCTCTTGGTATTGCCAGCTGCTTCACAAAAGAAGCATTTCTGCTCTGCCACTTAAAGAATTGGTTGAATAGAAAAAAAATCTCCAAATCTTTCTTGTGCTGTACATTAGTATAAAGACAGTAAATGGTTGTAATTTCTAAATATCTAGCAACCCTTAGTTTGTGACACAAAACATTTTTAGTCATTAAGCATTGGTTATGATAAACACTTTATAAAATTCTTGTTTAGCTTCTATTCTTTATTATTGTAACATAGCGGATATGGTCCTTCTTCAGCCTACATTTCTCATTCATCAGATAAGTATTTTTGAAGAAGGTTAAGGGAACATTTCTGTATTAAAAAGATAAATAAATAATAAAGCTTTCATGAAGTAGAAGAAACAGGACAGTATTTTTATGTTGTTATTAAAAATGAGTTCATCATTGCTGTGAAATGAAGACTGGAAATTAAAACGCTACTGGGAAAAATATGTGAGTTGTATCTGATTCACACATTCTTTATTCCACCAATGCTGAGGAAGTTCTCAGCCAAGATCTTTGTGTTCTGTGTAGAAGCAATGCAGCTGTCCATCCAGAACTGAAGCATCAGATTTTCAACTCTTCTTATTGTAGGAGTCTTTGTCTAGCTTAAAAACAGCTTCCATCTCATATTATGCCAGCATGTGCACAGTATGCAATTTGCAGTGGCATTAAAAGGTGTACACAGAGTATCCTGAGTGGGAAGGGAGCCAGGAGGATCAAGTCCAGACCTTGATTCCATGGGGATTTAACCTTTAGGGCTCCTTGAAAGTGAAACTAAGTATCTGAGAACGTTGTTCAAATGCTTCTTGAACACTACCTGTTGAATTGTAACTTTGGGGTAACATCCATTTAATGACATGAACATTAATTCTTGTCTGGAAAAGGGCAATCACATTACAGAAGGTTTTTTTAGTTGCAGGTAGGTAGAGAAGTTGCAGTCTTTCCACATGATGAAATACCTTTTCCTGCAAGAAAAAATACATTATTAACTTGGCTCTTAGACAAAGCACTCTGCCTGAGCTAAGGAGAAAATGTAATTTAAATAGTTACGAGAGTTGGGATCTGGTGTCTTCTTCAGGTAATGCAAAAAAATGGTTGTATGTGGTTTGAGACACTCAGTTTTGGAAACAGGGTTCCGGTTTTAAAATATTTGCTTGTTAATCATTGCTGGTGTTTGTCTTAGAAATACAAAACTTCCCTTATCAGTGGCTTTATCTGTTAAAACATGTTTTTTTTCCTTTCCCCACTTCCTTTTGCTTGCACTTCTTCTGGCAGGTCAATGAGGTAAGAAGGACCTACTTTAAATTTGGAGGTACAAAGCTAACCCACCATTGACACCACTAACCCTTCTAGCACCATTAACCTGGCTGGGCCCTGTGCCAGCACAGCTGCAAGCTGTCACCACGCCGCTGTAAAGCTTGTTGCACTGAACAGAATTTGCTGTCAAATAGTTCTTAAAAAATAGGAAGTATCCATAGCCACTCCTATTGACCTTATTAATCTGATAAAATAGTTAAGGAAAAAAAAAGCTTTGGTATTTTTGGTATCACCTGTGTTAGTATGTATGTGAGAATGGCTGTAGCATCTGGAGTATTTGCATGTTAGGAGTTTTTATTCTGTGGCTTTTTTTGCCTGATTTCACTCTTAATGATGGACCTGCTTCTGTGGTCTTGTTTTTTCCAGTTACGCAGCTCCTTCAAGCAAGCTTTTGGGAAAAAGAAATCTCCCAAGTCGGCATCTTCTCATTCAGACATTGAGGAGATGACTGATTCTTCCTTACCTTCCTCACCAAAGCTACCACACCACAACACCACTGTTTCAACACCACTGCTGAGAACTTCCCACTCCAATTCCCTGTAAGTGATTTTTGTAAACTTTAGACAGAAAATAGCGTGGAAGGCATCTTGCTGCATTGGTAGAGGAAAGGTAGAGGACAGAAATGCTGAATTCCTGTATTCAGAGATTTAAAGATGCGTGAGGTGACTCCCAACCCAGTACCTTTGCATTGGTGTTCAGGAAGCCAAAAATCACTGCATCCGTACTGAAGTGTAAATATTTCATTGGGTTGCTCTCTCAGCAGAATGTACTGACTATCAAGAATATTTATAATCAGGGTGACCTTGAGATGCCAAAGTAATTGGATCTCTTGCTGCTAATTAAACAATCTAGGTCAAATCTGGGATTTTGTTTCTCTTGTCTAAATACAGCACATATTGTATTAATCTGCCGTGGTAAATTCCCAATTCTGTTGACAAAGATAAAGGGAAGAAAATCAAACACTGTGGTTTAGTGATACAGATGAACTCACCTAACCACTTGTGCTGGGTGAATGGAGATGATCCACCCCTCTTTCCTTCTGTGCCTCTGCCACCTGTGCCTGGTCCTTTCCATGGCCACCTCTGAAATAAAATTTAACATATCCCTTGCCACACTGTTTTCAGTCTGAACTCACATTTTAGAACATGCATGGAAAATTTAGTAAAACAGCTTTTATGTTAATTCCATCGGTAGCTTTGTTACTTGAGCAGGATAAACAAATACAGAAAGTTTTAAAAGGCAGTATTGTGAAACCTGTAATTACCAGACATCCTCCTGACCTTGGGAGGTCATGTACAGCTTCCAGCCTGATTTCAGAACAAATGCATTGGAGTAGTTCCCCTCCACTCGTTTTCACATGAAGAAAACAATACCAATAGTTTCCAGCTGTATAACAGTAATAAAATGTCAGTAGCAGAAGATAATCCTCTATGATTTTTGTTTCAAAGCTTCTTCTGTCTCTTGAGCCTAACTCGGTGCATTTCTGGTGACTACAAGTTGTGCTCTAACACTCTCAGGCCAGAAAATTGTCAAATGATGATCCCATCTATCATCAGCCAAAATGATGTGTGGGTACATCTCATCTTGCTATGGAAGCCAAAATAATAAACATGAACAAAAAGTAAATATGTGAACTGGGGGAAGAATAGAGCACAAGTAAAACTACTGTGTTTTGGCTTACTGGCTTTTTGGTGGTGAAAACATCTCTCATTAACCTGATTTAAGGGAAGGCATGTTAGGTAAAATCTTCCTTAAGGCTGGCAGCTGTGTTGTTGATCTTTATACGGATACAGTTACAAGTGTGCTGAAATGTTGTTACTCACTCAGAAACTTTATTTTTTTTGTGAGCAGAGGGAAGAAAAATGCCACCAAAATTTTTTTAAGCATGAGTTCTTTATAGTGAGCAGGAATTTATCATGCTTGAATAGGTGTAGAGTTCCAAAGCCCTCCAGAGCAGTTCAGGGAAACCCAGCTGTGCACACCTGGTGAGCTTTAAATCTGTCCGTGAACTCATCAATTTCCAACCAACTGCTGTTAAATGGCTGCACCCCCTTAATTTATTTAGATTTTGGCTTTAGAAGTTTTCCATTAAAGCAACTACCTTGAAAAAAAATTAAGACTATCCAATAGTAGGTGATTTCAGATAATTGTTTCAGATGCTGATTAAAGGAAAATAACCCTCAGGCATCTTTGTTTCATTAAACTCTAAAATTTCCATGACCTGTTTAATATCTGATTTATGGTATCACTAATTCAGTAAGCCAAAATTGCTATCTGCTTCAAGCAGAATAAAAAAGGCTTTATTCCTCTTCTCCTAATAAATCCTGGAGAGTCACCATGAGGAAGGGAACATGTGTGTTTGTCTGTGTCCTGCAGTATTTCTGAGTGCACTGACAGTGAGGCTGAGACGGTGATGCAGCTGCGAAACGAGCTGCGGGACAAGGAGATGAAGCTGACGGACATTCGCCTGGAAGCCCTCAGCTCTGCCCACCAGCTGGACCAGCTGCGCGAGGCCATGAACAGGATGCAGGTGAGAACAGCCACCCCACATCCTGCAGCCTGTGCTGATGTGGCCAACCACCCGCACAGTAAAGATCTGACGTTTCTGAGTGCTTGCTAAAGGCTGTGTGTAGCTCTGTGCCAGTGTTAAACCTTCATTGAAAGTCAGCTTGAACTTTGCTGCCCTCAGCTGCAGCTGTTTCAACCCCAAGATGGGGACAGCATTTTGTTGGCTGTCAAAATGTTTCCATGCTCTCTGCCTTAAGGCAGTTGTATTTCAGAGTTAGTGAGTTCCCATTTAGGTATTTTAGGATACTTTGAAAAGTTTCACAGAAAGGACATTCTAATAATTAAAATCCTTAATTATAATATTAGGAAAACAGCATTTCTGCTAAACTACCATTTATTCTTAAGTATCTTATGTTCCTATCTTGTGATCATGTTTTCACTGTGCCTTCTAATGTCTGACTTGTGTTTTCAAGAGTGAGATTGAAAAGTTAAAAGCAGAGAACGATCGGCTGAAATCTGAAAACCATGGCAGCTGTAGCAGGGCTCAGTCTCAGGTTTCCATCTCCTCCTCCCCCAGACACTCAGTGGGTCTCTCTCAACACAGCCTGAACCTCACGGAGTCAATCAGTCTTGGTGAGTTTAATGAGAAGGATGGTGGGGCAGGTTTTATCCTGCACTTGGAAGGCTTGGGTTGGTTAGCCATGGAAAAATGAAAGCATGAGGATTATTAACACCTGAGGTGTGGAAATATGTCACAAGCTGGCACAAAGCCTTCTTTTAAATATCATCATAGGTCTGCTACAGCCTCAGTCAGAAGTGTCCAATTATGACCTCAGCTCTGAAAAGTCATGTTTAAAGCCATTTAATGGTGCACATTTCCCAGGGGATATATCATAGGAAGGAAAATACAGAGTAACTGGCTAATAATTTTCAATGACCTTCCCTTTTTAAGAGGGATGTGTGGCAGGGAAGTCAGTCAGCCTGGTTCTCTTGTTTTACCTTGGGCCATGTTAAGCACAGGTGTGTTGTGTTTGACTACAATAAACCAGAATAGCCTCCATTGTAATTGAGCTCCAGCTGTGAAGCTGTTGATGTTTACTGTCCACAGACATGCTGTTGGATGACACTGGAGATGGCTCTGGCCGGAAAGAAGGAGGCAGGCATGTCAAAATACTCGTCAACTTCCAGGATGAGATGAAATGGAAGGAGGTGAGTTGTGTTTCATCCCCAGCTTTGAAACAAAAGTGACTTTGGAATGTGTGAGGGAATTCAAGTTTACCAAGGAGTTTTAAGAATTTTCCCAGGAAAACAGTTCATTGGTGTGTTAATAGTGATAGAGAAGGCACTTGGCTGCCTCTAGCTTCCTTGGACCCGACAAGAGGGACCGAAATACCAGAAGCACCAATCTCATGGAAGAACTTGACAAATCCAAGCTGGGACCATATCATTCTAGTTCAAGTTGTCCTCTCTAGCACAAGTACCCTGTTTAGAATGACATCTTTCAGATGTTTACCATCCACAAGTATGTGAAAGAATCCTAAATACTAAATAAATTGCAAATATTGTAAAGTTGCATCCCATCTTGTGTGTTTAATGGTCTACATGCATAAAAGTATTACACAGTCTTTGCCAAGCAGTGGCTTTGCTATCTAGCATTTTTGAGTACCTGTAAAAGTGTGTTTAAGAAGTGACTTCATGTCTTCCTGAGGTGTGGACAAAAATCTGAATGATCAGGAATAAAATGGACTCAGCAGATCTTCTTTACATTAATTATTACAACCCTGGATAAGCAGTGAAACTGCTGCTAATTGACTGCAGTCAGAGCAAGTTTTAGTAACACTTCAAATCTTATGATAGAAATTAGTTTTCTGTTCAATTAAGGTTTCACAGTGAGTGCAGCTGTAGAGAAACAGAAAAATTACATTTGTTCTGATTTCTTTTATCTGCCTTAAAAATCACTTAAAAAATTCAAAATGCTGTGATACATCAAATATAATATATAAACTCTCTTTCTATATTACTACTTTTACATAGAGCCATGTGTAATTTCTAAATATATAAGTTTCTATGCCCACAGCAGAATTTCTAGTAATAAATAGTATAAACCTTTCAAATGTAACATACATATAACACAGACACCTAAGTATTTTTTAGCTTTGTGATCCAACACTGGAAAATGTTTACCATGTGAAAAAGATTCCATATGCCATTCAGAATTCCCCATATAGAGTAGTAAGGATGCGCCATTATTCAGAAGTAAATGGGAGGGGGCAGGGAAGCTAGCATTTTAATTACATTAACCACACTTGTCTGATAGAGTTATTCCTGTGCATTTAGGATTCCAGGCCTCGCACCTTCCTCATAGGCTGCATTGGAGTCAGTGGGAAGACCAAGTGGGATATTCTGGATGGGGTTGTAAGACGCCTGTTTAAGGTCAGTGGGCACAAAATGCTGTGAGCTCGAGTTCTCCGCTGGGGTTTTGGTGGAACCAAGCTGTATTTAACTTTGTGCATTAAGTACTGTTGCAGCAGAAAACAAACCCCAGTGCTGCCTTTTTGTGTCCCTTTTCCGCCCCAGGAGTACATCATCCACGTGGATCCTGTAAGCCAGCTGGGGCTATACTCAGACAGTGTTCTGGGCTACAGCATCGGGGAAATCAGGCGCACCAACAGTGCAGAGACCCCAGAGCTACTGCCCTGTGGGTACCTGGTTGGAGAAAACAACACTATCTCAGTTACTATCAAAGGTAATTTCACCTGACCTGACTGGTGGAGTTTTCACTGTTGAGTTTTATTAGAGCGTTCTGTGCCAAGAAACTCAGAGGAGAAGAAACTTTTTATTGCACTGCTTTTTCCTGTTCCTACCATTTATTTACTTCCTTCTGTTTTTATTTGATAAAGTCAGCACTTGGGGACTTGCTAAGTCTGTAATTTCAGCAAGTTTTCAACCTGTAGCTCTAGGAATAATTACATACTCCACAGATACTGAGTTGTCCTGGAGAAGACCTCACATCATCATGGATGCAGTGGAGCTGTTTGAGCAGCAAAGTGCTTCCCAAATGAGTCAAGCCTCAAAAATTCATTAGCTCCTTATCACAGCTATAGTTGTTATTTCCTTCATGCAGGGTGAAAAAAAAAAATAAATTTTGACTCATTTGCTTGATTGGTCATGCTGAAGGGTCCCTCCTTAAGTACCAGGAAGGAGGGAGCCCAAATTTTCTGAAACACCTTAAAATCTGGATTTTTCAAAATGTATGGTTTTCAGAATCCCCATCAATTTCATTCCATAATAGTGATAAAAATTTAGTATTTGTGTTTCTCATTTGGTTTCTCAGGGGAGCACTTTTTTATGAAAACTATACTATGAAGCTAAGTTCAGGGGTAAAACCCTCAACTGATGCATTTTGAACATATATCAGTTTGCTCAAAGTTAGACCAGTGAAATCTGCAGACAGATGGTATTTGAAAGCAGTGACAAACATTCTTCAGATCAACTTTGAAATTTAACTGAAAGCAGATTTTTGAATACTGGTGGAAAAACCAAGTTGCCTTGTACAGCAAATGAGTGGGCAGGAAGACAAAATAAACTTTGAAATACATCAGTTTACTGAGGCTTGACATGAACCCAGGATTACTACTTATATAAAATGCATTGTCCAGTCAAAAATCTGAAAAATCTGCAATATTTCAAATTGAAATATTGCATAAAGTCTACCAGTGTCTGTAAAGCTGCAATTTGAGTTTATATTTAACATGCACTGGTGTCATTTGTGCCTTGAAAGTTCTTAAGTGATAACAGTTTTCAATAAAATAGAAATGTATTTAATCAATTTATGGAAAATCACTTACATATATCTTTGTGGTATAAAATATATAAATATTTAATAATCCAAGTAACCACTGAGATGCAAACATTCTCTGGGTGATCTGCCAGCTTCCCTTCCTGATGTTTATATTGAAGCACTGAGTATTTTGCCTGAGCCAATTCTGGCTAAAGTGACTGCTGACATGGCATAAATGCTTATCAGTAGGTGTTTTCTGTTAGGGGAGATAACTATCAGCATACAGAGAAGGAGTTCAGTTACAAGCATTTGGGAAAGTAGGGGGAGTTGATGATAGCTGGTATGGTTTTTTTTGGTTTAGTGATCCAAAAGTAAACAGGTACATTCTGGGTGAATGCATGGTGAAGTGTTGTAAAATGGATGGCTTGCTCTTGAAAAGTGGTGACTTGGAATCCTTTGGTGTGGCAGCTTCCAAAGGGCCTTAGAGACACAGCTGAGGTCTTAAACAGGCTGAAGGAGGATCCAGGCTAAGCCCATGTGCAGGTCACCCCTGCACTTGTTCTCCAGCTTTGTATGTGCCTCTCTCAACCACAAGGAATACCAGGGTGGGGAAGGGGTTTAACTCTGAAGTGAAGAACAGCTTGATCGGGCCAATTTGGATAAAAATTGGAAATCCCCCTAAAAGAGGCCTGTTTCCCTGCTGTGCAGGTATCTGTGAGAATAGCCTGGATGGGCTGGTGTTCGAGTCGCTGATCCCCAAGCCCATCCTGCAGCGCTACGTGTCCCTGCTGATGGAACATAGGAGGATCATCCTGTCTGGCCCCAGTGGCACAGGCAAAACCTACCTGGCCAACCGCCTGTCTGAGTACATGGTCCTCAGGGAGGGCAGGGAGCTGGCTGAGGGCACCATTGCCACCTTCAACGTCGACCACAAATCCAGCAAGGTGAGCATGCACAAACCATCCTCGCATAACCATGTGTCCAAAATGAGAGAGCTTTCTTAATCTCTCCTTCTGAACTTCCCTTTATTTTCAAAGCATTATGTTCATCCTAAAGGAAACAATATTTAAAGGTTTTCAGATTCACCTGATTATGAGTCTAGAACAGCAGGCTTCCAGGTGTGTATTTAAACACCTAAAGATGTCATAATTCTGAAGTGTTTAGGAGCCTGAGAATTTCCCAGGAAGTTAAACACCTGCATAAAATTGCCAGAGACTTAAGTAATCCCTATTGCATGCGGGCACTTTCCCCAAAGCCCTCAAATGCATCTCCAGGCTGTCAGGAGCTTCTGCAGCTGCAGGAATCAGCAGTTATAATCATGTGCTGAGTTTAGAGGGGCTGTTGTGGAGACACATTCTTGGGCAGGTAAGGCATGTCTTCACTTTTTTTATGTGCTGCTGGTTTTGCCTAATATACTTCCAGTGATCATTAGATTAAAGAAAATAAAAAAGAAAAAAAAACCTGTATATTTGATGGCCTTAGGCATATTTTCCTTTGGAGGAATGGGATGGTTGAAATTGTGGTTTTAAACCACTGATATGATTTCAGACATGTTTTGAAGCTGCTGAGAGCATTTCAGCCACTCATCAGCAGTACCAAAATCTTGTCCTTCTTTCCAGCATTACTGAAAGCATCCAAATTTTACCTCTGATGAGGGATGGTTTGTTCCAGATTAGTTTTGTCGGCTATATTTTGATGGAAACACAGTTGCAAGATGATATAACAAATCTAAGTGGAATGCAGAGTTCAGTTTGGTGTGGGGAAAGTTGATCAAGTTTGTGAAAAGAAACAAAAATATATTTCAGACCTCTTAGGTCTGACATTGATGAATAAAAAACATAAACTAAATTATAAAATATTACCCCTCCTAAAGCCCTTGTCTCACACAGGATTTCTGGTACAGTCTCCGCGTCTTCAGCATAACCTACAAAAGAGGAAGAAAACTGTGTCTTCTGTTTTCTGATAGAAAATGTGTGATTTGTTAGATGTCAGACTCTTTTGCTTTAGATTTTGTTACCAAGCTTATCTATCTTAATTGATTATTTTAAGAAATGTGAAGAATTTTTTTTTTCTTCTTTTCTTTATATCTGCTTTGCAGGAACTCCGTCAGTACCTGTCCAACCTGGCAGATCAGTGCAACAGTGAAAATAATGCTGTGGATATGCCTCTTGTCATCATTTTGGATAATTTGCACCATGTTAGCTCCCTAGGAGAAATCTTTAATGGACTCCTAAACTGCAAGTACCACAAATGGTAAAGAAATAGTATCAGAACACACTGCAGATGTTAATCCTGTACTCAGAGCACTGCTTCTGCAAAATCCAATCATAATACCAAAGTGTACATTAATTTAGTAATGTGGAGGAAGATGACCAGGTTGTCCATATTGTGGACAGTGCTTCAGAGGGATCTTTTTCCTCCATAAAATTATAAATTTTTTCTGAAATAAGTAATTAAAAACTAGTTGTATTTGCTTCATGACATAGATCATTAGTAGTAAAACCCCATTTGTAATGAAAGGTCCTGTTTTGTGACTTCTGGTTTGCTTTCAGAATTTGATGTTCTCAGAGTCTCAATAGAGAATTTGGTCATAAATAATTACAAAACCTTCTTTGGCAAAAGACTTTTGAATAATGTTTTTTAATGTTCAGGTTTTACTTAAAACTTGTTCACAAGTTTGATTTGCTTGATTTTTTTCTCCCAATAGCCCATACATTATTGGCACAATGAACCAAGCCACCTCCTCCACACCTAATCTTCAACTTCACCATAATTTCAGGTACTGTTTATTCATGTTTCTCATTCATGTTTGTGGGCTGGCAAAGAAGTAATGGCTACTGAGTCATCTGAAATTGTTCTTATCAGCTGAAATACCAAAGTGAGAGAGAAATGCCATTTGCTACTGGCTGCTGCCCTGACATGTGCAGCTTGGTTATGGTGCTGTAATTAAAGGAGATGGGTTCATAAAGCTTTTGTTTTACAGAGGATTGTTACGATATTTGATCTCCTACCAGATTTTCAGTAAGACAATATTTAGACAAAGCAGATTAACGACAAGTGAGCTGAAACAGTGCACAATAAAAATTGATTCATCTAGTGAAATATTCCAAAGTAACTTTTGCTGAAAAACATGTATGACTGGAGTAGCCCATTTTGATGCTGATAATCTGGAAATAAGAAATGTAATCAGGAACAGTTGCACTCAGTAGCATGGCAGAGAAACAATGGCCATTTCTGCTGTTCTGCCATAGATGGGTGCTATGTGCAAACCACACTGAGCCAGTCAAAGGCTTTCTTGGCCGTTTCCTGAGAAGAAAACTGATTGAAACAGAGATCAGTGGCAGGATGAGGAATGCAGAGCTGGTTAAGATTATTGATTGGATTCCCAAGGTCTGGCAACATCTGAACAAATTCTTGGAGGCTCACAGCTCCTCTGATGTTACTATTGGTAAGTACTCTGCCCAGGCATATGTAAATATATGTATTTTATTTCCTTGTATATCAGGTGTATCTTTGTACACTTCCTTGTGCTATATCATGTAAAAAAGACTTTCTTTAAAATGTTACTTTTAGATAATATCAATATTTTTGATGCTTATTGTGATTTGAGTGTAATATCCAAATTTCCATCTCCAGGTCCACGGCTCTTCCTCTCCTGTCCAATAGATGTAGATGGTTCTAGAGTTTGGTTTACTGACTTGTGGAATTACTCCATCATTCCATATCTTCTGGAGGCAGTAAGAGAAGGGCTACAGGTGAGCAGGCAAAGGGAAAAATCATGGGTCTAGAATGGGATCTCTTCAAAAGGCAATAAAACTCAGTAGTGGCAACAATTTTGTAACTTTGTACATTGAATATCTGCATGTCTATAAAAATGTAACCAGAATTGTCAATAATTTCAAGGAGAACCAGTCTCCTCAAGCATTTTTGAAACAGAAAGTGGAAGAAGTGATTAGATGCCAAACTGCTGATGTTTTCAGTGCAGGGAATTAGACATAAAAATACCTTTCATTACTTTGTTCCAGAAGCACACCTTAACACTATCCTGTGCATCAGAAAAATATGCTTGTGGTCATTAGCTTTGTTATACAGGATTTTCCTCTGGACGTCAAATCTTTCAGCATAGGAAGAAGGCTTTGTATGGAGAGAATGTATTTATTAGTGACAGGAGGAGTATCAGTGACATTTTGATTACTTCTCAGAACATAAGGTGACTTTTTTAGTAGATTCCTTCATAATTCTTTCATAGGATGAAATGAAATCATCATTGATTGTCTGTGCTTAGTAATTTATTGATAATCTGGCAATTTGGAATAGTTGTTGGTGTCTGTATGACTATGCAGTTTGTTGAAATCGGGAGGAGGGTTCAGCAGAGAATTGCTATGGACTTGCCATTTAGGTTGGGGAAAAAAGGAAGTTTTTTAATAACCTGCTCTTTGTTTACAAAATAAGCCCAGCAGCATCTTATTTAAAATATGGTTTAGAACCATATTTTACTAATGGCTTCTTACAAATTTGTGAAATACATGAATTATCCAAGTTGTGGGTAAAACTTGGGCAAACAACAGCTGCCATTTGAAATTTGTTAGTACTTGGAGACCTCATTTTCTTTGGGACAATTGTGGTAGACACTTAGACATGAGGAAAACAATAGGTCCTGTAGTACAAAACACAGTCAGGAACTTTGCTAGAAATAGGACAGGAGAACCATTTAACATAAAATTTGTTATAAAGAAAGGTAATGGGAGCCAGGAATCTTTCCAACCTAAAACAAGAGAAAGGAGAGCAGGTGACTTCGTTTGATCTTGAAATGGAGAAAACTGATACTCTCATTAATGCACAGGCTCCTTGTACTGGGTTTTGGAGCTCTCATATCACTGATCAGTATGTGTGGAAAGTATTGAAAAATTAGTAATGGAAGTGGGGAAAGAGAGAGAGCAATTGATAAAACCATCCTTTAGCTTCCTTGTGCTGTCCAGTATCTCCATCCTCCATCCCATATCTTAGGGTATTTGAGTGGCTTGTGTTCCACATGTAAGGACTTCAGTTTCTCATTTTGTGCTTTAGATTCTTTATCCCCTTCTGTCCCATTTCCCCAGATTGCACTAATTCATCCCTATTTAAATAATTTATTTTTTTTTGGTTGATGGATAAGAAGATGCACTTTAGTACTTAAAGAGTAGCCAGAGTGGTGCTAATGAACAAGCTAATGTTAGAAATGTGTGTTTCATCTGGGGCTGTTTGTTTGTTCCTCACACCCACAAAGACTCTTCTGAGAGCACATCTTTCCTGAAACTGCCTGCCAGAAAGGAAAGGTGGACTCTTAATTTCTCTCTGATCTCTGTGGATCTGCTCCCAGCTATTTTTGTATTTCTGTTTCTCATTTAGAGAATTATTTTGGGTCAAATACAAACAAGCCAAATGGATCCTTACAGTAATTGCTCCTGTTTTAGTTTACATGTTTTTCATATTCCTAGGTGTGTAGTTTTGAACTTCATAGTAAGTGTTAGTGAGCTCTCTTCACAGGGTAGGTAGGCAAAACAATTTCATTTCTAGCTTGATACCAAGGACAATCATTCCAAGTTTCAGGCCCAAAAGCATAAACAATGGTAGACTGAAGAGGGAAAACAAGAAGTATGGAACTTCATGACTTCACACATGGAGTGTGATTAGACAATTAACCCTGCATATGATATGCAGATAAACCAAAACTTATAAAAATGTAGAGACCTTGTGACTGGTCATCTATTTTTGTGACCATTTCTAGGTCCATCTTAGGTGTAGCTCTGGCCAGGCTCTTGTACTGCCCAAGGTGTATTTAAGGCCTTTCAATAAATACCTACTCTATTCTTAACTCTGTCTAGCCTCTATTCTAAATCAGTCTTCTCAAGTCTCCCATGGGAGCTGACTTGTTTTGCTCTTCAAAACAGGGATGTGAAAATTAGAAGGTTGTATAGAACCTGTGTTCTTCCTGCTTGGTGTATCAGGACAGAATGCAGCATTCAGCAAAAAGAAGATCCAGAGTTCCTGTGGCTTCCTGCCACTGTCACTCATACTCCAGTGATTTTTCTTTCATGCTTTGTGGAGCAACATGTTCCATCCTTGTCCTATGACTTACTCCCTGGAAAAAGTGACAGTGGGAGGGGTGGATAGACCTGGTTGCCGTGGAAAAGGATTGTGAGTCATTTAGTCTCTCCTGAGCTCAGATCCACTCAGACTTTTGTAGGATAAAAGATGTGAAAAATACAAAATCCTCACCACTTAACAAATTACATGTATCATTGTAAATTTGAGAACGAGATTAAAATATGAAATCTAGTTTGCCACATCTTGAAGCCATTATGCTGGGAAGATAACATAGCAGGCCTGAAGGATGAAGGGTTTTTGCTGCAGAGGAGGCTGTGTTTCAGATTGCATAGCACCATCTGCTGGCACCTCTGCTCCCTCTTGCTTCACAGCGCACCACGGGTTGGTTTTCAGAGCAATTTCATACTTTGTGCATGCAAAATCTAAACCCACAAAAAATATACCAAGGAGAAATAGTATTGAGGAAAGTGAGATAGTCCTAGATCCATCAGAGAACTGATGAATTTCTTTGCTAGACTGTTGTTTTTATCCTTGTACAGGGGCATAAAGTAAGGGGACAGTGACAAAATGTCAGAGATAAACTCCAGTTGCTGGAGTATGTTGATGGTGATATTTATAAAGTGGATATAAACGTTTTGAAGCCACTTTTAGTTGTATTTATGCTTTTGGAAGTCATGAGGCATTAAAATGAATGTGTTGTCTAGCTAAGGCAAATGGAATTAAACAGGGAGAATACAAGTTGGGATTCAGTAGCTCAGTCTATTCCATACAGAAAAACATTTTTGAAACTGAGCTTGCCTACTTAGGAACCTGACCATAGACAAATGCTGCTGGTGCTTTTTCTTAGTTGAATAAGAAAAAAATCTGACTTGAAAACTTTATGCCTTGACATCCATCATTATTTGCCTAATGTCAGATCTCATGTTTCCTCCTCCACGTTCCATGGATGGCAGTTTGTAAGCTGCCAGGGCAAACCAGATGTCAGCACTGATGGCTTCTTTTGTGTGCTGAGATTGTTTAAGTTGACTTAATTAGGTGATGTTATTTTCAGCCATTTCTTCCTTCAGCTGGTGCCAAGAGAAAGGCACTGCAGTCTCAAAGAAGGTGGCCAGCTCCTTCCAAATCAGTGCCATGACCAAGAGCTTTGTGTGTCCTTAGAGTAAGGAAAGTTTCATGTTCAGCTCTGCTTGCAAAGTATAAGACTCATGGCACATTCATTTTGGTTAGGTAGGCACTGGATAAGACGGTTGGAATGTTTGACATGGTTTTGTGCTCTTTCAGTTGTATGGGAGGAGAGCGCCCTGGGAGGATCCTGCCAAGTGGGTAATGGACACCTACCCCTGGGCAGCCACCCCTCAGCACCACGAGTGGCCTCCTCTGCTCCAGCTGCGGCCCGAGGATGTGGGCTTTGATGGCTACTCTGTGTCCCGGGAAGGCTCCACCAGCAAACAAGTTCCAGTCAGTGATGCTGAAGGAGATCCTCTGGTAAGCTCTCATTTCTGGAACAGCAGAACTATTTAATTTGCCTTGTTTCTAGGGATTAGAAATTAGAAATTACAGCTCTATGGCTGTAGACTAGTCCCTTCAATAATCTCATTTTCTCCTTTACTGGAGAATCTGTGTTTTATCAGTCACTTGAATGCTGCTATGATTCCAGTCAATACCTCTTTTCTAAGTCTCAGCATTATTGACCCCACTTGTTTCTCCCTTTTTTTCCTTGCTCACTGACCAAGAGAATGACGCTGTAAGCAGTCGTGTGGAGTTAATGTTGTTCCTACCTCAGAATACAAGTAATCATGAACTTCTTGCCTTTGCAGATGAACATGCTAATGAGACTGCAGGAGGCAGCCAACTACTCCAGTCCCCAGAGTTACGACAGCGACTCCAACAGCAACAGCCATCATGATGACATCCTGGATTCCTCTCTGGAGTCAACATTGTGATCTCCCTCAGACAGAGGTCGTTTCCACTTGGCAGGAGCCCTGATCACAGACTCATGAAAAGAACATGTTCCTGGGCTAAGGATCTCAGTATTAGAGCTGCAAGAACAAGACATTTGGAGCAATCTTGAACCTGGGTGCAGGCAACCCAAGTGACCTTTGTATGGTTTTTCTTTTGACGATGATGAGAACTGCACTACTCCTTTGTTTCCTTCTTTTTAGTTGCTGTAAGCTCTCATGCTTAAGATCCTGAAGATGTTAAAAATAATCATCATTACTAAGTCAAAGGGACTGGGGTGGGGGGCAACTTCACAGCTGTGAAGCAAACAGCTTAGTGCCATGTACTTTCTGGAAAGAGAGGGGAAAGGGAATATTTGCCTATGCTGCTTCTGATCAAACACATTTATGTGAGGGCTGGACTTTTACCAATCAGCTTCATGGATTAACTCAGCTTCATGTAGTTCTGGTGCTATAACAATACCGCTTCTCTCAGTAATAATACTCAGTGAAGGCAAAGCTGCAAAACAGGGAAGTTTGAATAAATATTAAAAAAATAGAAAAGGAAAAAAATAAACTAAAACAAAAAGCGCTGCTCTCCTTGCCAGTCTGAGACCTTGGCTTTCTTTCATTGTGTGTTTATAAAGATTATATATATAAATAGGAATATATAAATATATATATATACAGTCTGAACAAATCAGGTTTTTTTCAAACACTGTGTAACAATCAATCCTGCTACAAGTGAAAGATCAGGTAGCCCTTTGCTAGTCAGGGCCCAATTCTCTTCCTACATACATCCACACCACCAGCTGGGCTGACTTCTGTGGTGTTTACACCCCACTAATCCACCCTGAGAAGAGGGGGCTTCCCTCCTTCACAGAAGTCAGTGGCAGGGCTGTGCTCCATGGTGTCCTACAGCTGCAAAGGACCCTTGGTATTTAGTGCATAGGTATAGTGAGCTCTGTACACAGAGGTGAGCTACACCCCTGCAAAGGGATGAGTCAGGCTTCCCGTTTTTAATTCTTGCCATGAAATGTTACAGCTGTTTTCTAAAAACTTTGGGTTTTGTTCAGAGGTTTCATTCCAATCAGCACAACCATAAGGAGGTTAATTAAAATTCAGCTCTTTGACAGTTCCAGTGCTACTCTGGTGACAATATTTACTTCCATGACTTTCCTTTTTAATTGCAAAGTAAAAAAAAAAATAATTGTATTTTAGCAGTATTCGGGTCTGGGAAAAAAAAGATAAGGTACTGAGTACTGTGTCTTTTGAGTTTAACTGTGCCATGCTTTTGAGTTGTGGCAGAGCTGTGAACCTGGTTTGGTTTCTCCTCCTCTGTGAACGCACACACCTACACTATCAGTGTTAAGGCTTGTACTTGTGTTGGGGAACAAGAACACCTCCCAAAGAGTTGCACTTTCCTGGTGACACCACCATCCCCAGCATGTCAGCTGTACCTCAGCCAACACCTCATTCTTCAGGAGGAATTCATATGAGCCTTTCCAGCTCTCCTTTGGTGCTGACTTTTTAAAGTGATGCCTTATTTTGTACTAATTGTGTTTGATTAAATTAGTGCTGTATATTATGGGATTTTATTTAAAGAAACAGGGCTAAAGTCATCTCTTGAAATATAAGTTGCTGTGAATATTGTTTGTATGAGATACTAGAATTTGTTTAAATGTGACAAAAAAAGAGGAAAATGAGATAACGTTTTGGGTTCATGTCAATCCGCAGCTAATAAATCACTGAAGAGCTGTTTTATCCATGCAGGAGGGACAAAAGAAGCTTTTCAACTCTAATAAATTACAGGAATATGCTTGTTTTTCAATGTAAAGGAAGAAATTTTACTACAAACATTTTTTCAAGAGCTTGTGGGTTTAAAGCAACATAAGAGACAAGTTCGTGCTTCTGTGACTCAGCTTGAGAGGATGGTTTTATTATACCTCATGACTTTCTGTAATATAACTGTACTTTGTCTTTCTAAGCTGGTCTTGAATCTGCTTCTGTTACAACTTCTAAGTGCTGATTACTTTTTTTTTAAAAGAAAAATATTGTAAAAGGAAAAATTTAAATATTTTAATGGTGGGGGGGAAGAGCTTGGTGTTGTTACTGTTTTAACCTTATGAACTCTGATTTCATTATTTCACTGAATGGAATAAGAAGGGTTACTCAGCCAATTTTCCTAATCCAGTTCTTGGTACTATTAAAAAAAATGGGTTTGATCTGTATAGAATCAAATCTATAGCATGCTGATGATGAGTTTGAGAGGAGTTAATTTTTCCAGTAGTCTTGACAATTCTGCTCCCCAGCACTGACTTTACCTGCTACTAATGTGAATTTCGGTACCTAATCCCCCAACTGAATCCATGCAGACAGAGCATGTGCCTGTAAAAAAAAACCCAGTTGCAGGGCTAGGGCTTTAAATGGACTTGATATCCTAGAAAATGTCTCAGTTGACTTTTAACTGGGTGCTAAAAGACCTGTTTAAAGTAGTGTTTTATTTGTAGGGAACGGGGTATTTTTTTTTTTTCTCATGTTTAATCCTGTGCTTAAGCTCAGGAAGAAATTTCTATTATCTGTTCTTTTTTATTGACACTAGCTTGGCTTAAAGTGAGAGAGGCAATTTTGAATAGGCTAGACATTCTGAGCATCACAATATTCCGTGTCTTTTCTGAAACTTCGGGAAGCAGGGTTACCTGTTGTGCACACATCTTAGTTTTTATCAAGATTTTTCATAGATTAAGTCTTTCTTAGGTGACTTTCTTCGCATTTAAGGCTTTTTCAAAACACTTCCTTTTTTTTTTTCCTTTTTTCTCCTCCTTACAAAGTTGGCTTGTTTAAAAAAATATCAACAAGAAATGCAAGATTCTATGCAACATTCATGTTGAGTTATAAATTGGGAGAATAAACCATTTTCTTTCCTTCAGATCTGCCAAGAATGATACAGGCCATAAATGAAATGTGGTTTATTTGGGTAAGGGGAGAGAGGGGGTTGGTTAGCCTTTTTGTATGTTTTGAAAGAAACAAACTTGATATTTCATTGTTGATGCTTAACTTCAATATTATGTGTATGAAATCTTGTCTAAATGTGGCAATTTTCTTTCAAGAAAAGAATAATACACAAAAACAAAGCAAAAAAAAATCTTTGTTGATATTAAATGGAAGGTTGCTGTTTTGATCTAGTCGTTTCCAGTGGAACAGTTTATTAAATATGTTCTATAAGATGTACATTTTTTCATTGTAACATAGAAATGTAAATATTTGATTAAAAGTGCTGCATTTTGATGAATTTTTTCTAGCCATTTTTAAAGAGAAAACTAGGAATTGAGTATTTTGTGTACATTTATGATGTTTTCCATTTGCTCCTCTCCCTATTTAATTTTCAGTTCTCATTTAGGATTGGAATTTGTGAATGGTCTGAGATCATGCCTTTCCTTTCTCACTCTCACCATTTCTACCCCTTCCGCACCCCGTGTCATGGAGAATAAAGCTTATGATTGTACCAGTCTTAAATTATTCATGATTCAATAAAATTGATGCTTATTTATTCAGATTTGTGGCTTCCCAGAACTTTTTGTCCCTTTCTAATCACCATTTTATAATTTTTCATTTGAAGATTGCGGGGTTCACTCCTTTGGATTTGTTGGCTTTTTGTAAGTACTTGTGAGGGGGTGCCAACAGGCCTCACCTTTCCATCCAGTCTGGTCTAGGATGTTTCCAGGGACACCTTCCACCCCTCTGGACAGCCTTCACATTCAGGACAGTATGCCAATTTCCTCTTCACCTGTTTGATAGACACATAATAAATACAGTAATAAATACCCAGTCAGTTAAAACATGTAAGAGTCTATTCTAGTTCATGGCAAATAAATACTCTGACTAAAAAAAAAAGTTAAAGTTCTCTATTCAGAAAGGATAAATGTAAACACCTCTGCACTTAAAATCTTAAGGGTTTGTTTTGGGTTTTCTTCTGGAGACTTACTCCTGTTTAGACAGTTCCTTGTCCACTTATCACCTATTTGAATGATTAAAGTTGGTAGGATAGATTAATGTGTAGACAACTTAAAAAAAAATAGAGAAGTCCTGTTGAAGACTGATGGTCTGCACTCAAGTTTGTTCAATCCAAAAATAGTCCTAATGGCACAGCAGTGTAAATGGTAGCTCAGAGCTGATCTTGAATGTAGGTATTGTCTGTCCTCCACAGCAGTTTTCCAGAAGTAGAATTGCTTTGGACATGCTCAAGCACATTTTTCCATGTTCTGTAAACTGCCTTAGATTCATAGAATTGCATGTCCTAGACTTGGTCCTGGAAAATACTTCAGCCATTATCTTGGACAATTTTTGAATCCATACTGGACTGCCAAAATGCTTATTATCTTTCAGGAATTCTTCCTTTCCGTTCCCTTTTTGGCTGCCCTGCCCCTTTCCCACATTATTCTTTTCTCTGTTCTATACACACTGTCTTATACACTTATCTTTTTTTCCCTTTACCTCATCTTTTCTTTAACCTTTATTTTATTTTATTTAACCTTTATTTTCCTACTTTTCTGTAGGAAAATATTTCCAACATCCTATTTCATTTTATGTCTTTCCTGGATCCATATCATCATTTCTCAGTGCCATAGGATCAGTGCTGGCTTTCTTTCTGCAATGGAAAAGTGAAATTCTCTGGAGTAATTTTATAAACTCAGTCTGCAGCCTGTAACATGTATTTTCACCCTTCTCATTCCTCTGACCTTCTCATCCCATTGGAGTAGTCGCCTCAAGAACCAGAGAGGAAATTCCTCCTGATACCCTGCAGGCTCCCATCCTCCATTTCACACTTCCTGTCCATTTCACCACTTTACTGGTGTCCAGGATTCTGGCATTCATCTCTGTGATAACCTAGGGTTATCTGTGGTTTCTAATGTGCATGTTTAATCTGGGCTTTTGGGGGTTAGAGCAGAGCACAGCAACTGAGGACAACTTTCATCTTTGCCCTTGGCAGTGTGGCTGACCATAGGCAATTCTTTTCCCGTCATCATCTTTGTTGGCTTAGCCACACACAGAAGTCCATGTTCCTCTCTCCTTCCTCAATCACAGAATGGTTTGGGTTGGAAGGGACCTTTAGAGGTCATCTAGTCCAACCCCCTGCAATGAGCTGGGACATTTTCTGTAAGAGCAGGTTACTCAGTCACAGGTATTTCTGATTTTCTCAGAGGCTTGAGAGATGTTACAGGGAGTGGAGACCATGCTCTGGCTAAACATGGGTAATTCCTCCTCTAGGAAGTTCACCCATGTGGAACTGGGCAATTAGGAAGTCTGAAGGGCTTTACATAGAATGGGATCCACAGGCAGATGGGAAGAGTTTGTGCTTCCACTGAGATCCTGACTGAAAGCCTATTGTAGATCAAGGAGCTGGTGATCCACATGCCAGTGAGCCTGAGTATGGCCAGGACTGTGCTGTGCTGTTCTGCCCTGTGCCACGAGGACAGGCTAGATGCACAAAGCCCTTGTCCATAGGATCAGCTCAGCCCACTCTAACAGAGAGGCATGCAGCTCCTGCTGGGTACCAGGGGGTTGAGCCATCCATGTATCCTTGGTTTTGTCCAACCATGCAGCAAGAAGATCTCATGGGTACCTCCTTTCTGTTTGATAGCAGAAATGGTTAATAGAATTCTTTTGCTGTGAGAAAACATCCTCCTGTAAAACCTTGAATACCCACACCCATGTGTGGGTATGGCCAGGATGCTGTGTGTGGATGCTGCTTCACTGAGGGTTCTCAGCATCTGAAGGGACAGAAGATTGACTCTGCTGTTCCCACCCTGCAGTGTTCACTCTGACAAATAGTATTTGATACCTCACTAGGTCTGAGTGCCTTTTTATAGGGATTGTAGAACCATTGTGATTGAAGAACCAGCACCAACTGCAAAAGTGGAGTTAGGGCACAAAGCCCAAGCCCAGTAGGGAAGGAGCAAGCTCACAAGCTCGGATTTGTGTAAGCCACCAAAGCTCATCCACAACAAGATTTCTGACAATGTTATTGCACAATTTTCATCTTCACACTTACTGCCAGACCACCAATCTCCAGTCCCTAATCAGCCCTGACTGTTAAACCTATTTCTGCACAGGAGTGCCCAACATCCACAAGGATCCTGGAAAGCTCTGAGAAATGCTTCCCACTGCAGATGCTGTACCTGCTGTCTCAGAACAGCCCTTTGCTGGTTGGATTTAGTGCTCACAGCCTGATAATATTTATTGCATACTTATCAGTGGTGGCCTTGAATATAGCCTTGGATATAGCAATAATAACACTGTGAGGTTTCAGATCCTGCTAAGAACACTGAAGACAACTAATAGGAAAAAACCGCTGGATTTCAGAAGCACTAAATCTTCCACTTCTGAAACTTCCATATGCTCAGAGTCCAGCTGTGAGGGTCTGTGGGAAGCATCCAAGGAGAGCACAAGCAGCTTATAAGGGCTGGGAGTTGCTCAGGAACAGTCCAACCCCTACAAAGGGAGCGGGAGAAAGCAGAGCAAGAGACCACCCTTGCTTAGGAGGGGGGTTTTGGATGTGCTTAAACAACAAACAAAAAGATAAATACTGACCATAGGAAGGTGGCCAAATACCCATCATGGACTACAAGAACCTTGCTGAGGCATACAAAGTTGCATTTAGCATGGCTAAGCTTGGCTAAACCTAGGAGGGGTATGAGAACCTGTCCCATGAGGAAAGACTGAAGCAGTTGGGTCTCTTCCTGAAGAAAACTTTTTGAAGACCTCATGGCAGGACTTCAGTACCTAGAGTGCAGCCACAAAGGGGATGGATGGTCTCTTTTCACAGGGAGCCACATGGAGAAGACAAGGAGCAATGGGTACAAGTTGAATGAGGAGAGGTTTTATCTTGCTATCAGAATGATATTTTTTACAGAAAGAATAATCATTATGTGGCACAATCTCCTCAAGGATATGGTAGAGTCCTCATTGATGGAAGATTTTCAAAATATGGTTGATCAGGGTAATAGTCCTCACCTGGTTTCTCTTTCCCACAAAAGACTGGACCAGAGGATTTTTCCTGATGTCTTCCAGCCTGTATTATATGATTTTATGAAGTATTTAGTCCTTTGCTGGTTACATGGGAGGGAAAATTAGGTAAAAGCAGCACACCTGGCACATGTGCATGTCCAGTAAAGGCACTCCTGTGAGGCTCTACTCTGCTGGACTTCGTAAGAGTTAAATCCCTGCCATGTGGACTAAGAAAGTGGTGCTGGTATAGGTTTTGGAGCTTGAAGGACATTATTTACTTATATAAATTAATTTTTTGTTGAAAAATACAAGAGCCCTGAAGATTAGGTCACTTGAAAAGGACCTGCAGAAGGGATGATCTTTCCCATCCTTGCTGAGCATTTCTGCCATGTGCTCCCACATGCAGTGGGGCAGTTCCAGCTGCTAGAAAAGAAAATCAAGGGAACAGATCAATTTTCTGCTCTTCAGTCCAATCACTTCTGCTGCCAGCCCATGCACACACACTGGCACACAGCTGGGCCTGGGGAGGGAGCGCAGCCAGGAGTGAGGCTCTGCCTTGCTCCTCCTCACAGTAAGAGGGCCCACAGCTTTCTGTCAAATCCACCTTGAACTTCCCAGGAAAGGGTTTTAAATGCTATCAGTGTTTTCTAGGACTGATCTTGGGTCTCTTCAAACCAATAGTTTCCTGTGAGATGGGGGTTTAGAACTGGTTGGGGTTTAATATCCTGCCATCACTCTCAGCCTTTGCTGGTTGCTTCTGGAAAGTATGACCTTGCATCATGTGTTCTAAAAGAGGTTATTTTATTTTATTATTTCATTTTTTATTCATTTTTTATTCAACTTGCTCCCAGTAAAGGACTGTGCAGGAGGCTTGTTTGCCTGGTTGTGGCTGAGTGAAAACACCTTCAGCTCCCCAGTTTGTGCAGGCACTGCTGGAGAAGCCATTGGACCAAGGAGTGGGACCAGAGAGACACACTCCAGGTCTGTTACCAAGAACTCTGCAGGCAGCAACAGTACAGACTCCCTGAGAAAGTGATTTATTTCCTTTTTTCCCCCTGTCCAAAAGACACTCTCCCACACTGGCAGGCACAGATGTTGAACCAGCTGGTTTCTTAAAGGATAAAATAGTTGAGAATTTGCTGCACTGAGCTTAAAGGATAAAATAGTTGAGAATTTGCTGCACTGAGCTCACAATCACCAAAGTTAAATCCCCCTCTCTGCCTTATCCATTCCCCAGTCTGAGAGATTTGTCTCCTGGCTCTGAGAAGGAAGAAAAGACACACAAGACGTTTGGGCTGTTGAGTCATTAAAAATAGCTGTTTGATATAAAGCAGAGGCTGTTATAGTGTGTATTACACATGGGATTACCAGAGTTCCCAAAACTCTGGATGCTGCTAGTCATTATGGAAACCATTCCATCTCCATGAAGGCAGGAAAGACTTCTTATCATCTTCTCTCCTTTCCTAAAGCATATAGAGAGCTGCATTAAAAACAAAGAGAGAGAGAGAGAGAGGGTGCTGAGCTTGTTTCAGGGAATAGAAGAAGGTC